ACCTGCCGGACGACCCTATCTGGCCGGCCGGCCAACTGGTCCAATATTGCCAGGCGACTGGTCCTATCTGGCAGGCCGGCTGGTCCAATCTGTCCAGTCGGCTAGTCAGATAGTACCAGTCGGCAGGCCAAATGTGACCAGCCGGCTGGCCAGCCAGATAGGGTCGACCAACCCTATCTGGCCAGCTGGTCGACTGGTCCAACTGGGCAGCCGACTGGTATTATCTGGCCGGCCGACTGGCCCTATCTGGCCGGCAGACTGGTACCATATGCCCATCCGGCATATCTGGAAGGCCTGCCTGGTACTAAATGACCCGACTGGTCCTATCTGGTCAGTCGACCAGAACTATTAGGCAGGCTGACCGGACCTATCTATTTGGCCTACCGGTCGACTGATACTATCTGGCCAGACTACTGGTCCAATTTGGCTGGCCAACTGGTACTATCTGGTCTGCCGGACGACCCTATCTGGCTGGCCGGCCAGCCAACTGGACCTGTCTGGTCATGTACTGTATATTGATCATTTGAGGCACATGCTTCCATGCAAATTATTTTCCCCCCGATATTTTCTGATTTCAAGAACCATCCAGTCCATTAGAGTGGAATATAAGCTGCAACGTTCCACAAGCACATATTTTGACATGCTTTTGATGGCTCAGACTGCGATGTTATTTTTTTTATATACTAGAATAGGTTTGGTTAAAAATGTGTTGATATGTAGAGTTCTTCTCATTGGGTAGAAAGCTCTGAGTAGTTTACGTATCAAGACATGAGGCTGTAGTAGAAGATACATCTTTGCATCTGATTGACGATTGATGATTATTTTTCATCTGGGAAAATTCCACTACTGGAGTTCTTAAAGCTGTTTTTCTCTCACTTAATTTCCGGGTCAATAGTTCACTGGTAAGTGTTTTTCTACAAACCTTTTTTTTGAATGGTCATTGATAAATACAGTTGCTAGTATGTTAGAGATGGGATTCTGCTCAAGGTTAAGCATGTGTTTAGGAATAAACACTGCATTCTGCTCATTCAATACAGAATCAGCAAGCAAATGCACTTTGGGTGGTTTACGTATGTAGTCACTGGTCTTTAACTACCAGATTTTGGGGCAACATTAGTCTTACAATTTTGTTTTATGATATTGGTTGATTGGATTTATGTAACATTTTCCTCGATGCTCAATGCACTTCATTACCTGCCATGGTAGCCATTATGCACCAGACAGCTCACACATCAGCTATCACAGTGTAGCAATGAGGAGAGTGAATCATGACAATGAATATATGTTGTGTCATGTCTTTGTCTGATTACAAGTTATTCAGATTGTCTCCTCTAATCCGGAATACTGTTAAAATACAGAGGAACATCAAATACACATAAAACAACTCAAAACACAGACACCTGAGTAAATAGGTATTCATTTATTGCTAGAATCATCCTTTAATACATAACACAGCTAATACAAATGAAAGAAAAGATACACCGACGAGACCAGTATGGTATACTGATGTTATACTTTCACTGTAAATGTAAGCTTTGAAATTGACTTCGGGAGAAAAATAACATGGTTATCTCATATATTGCTTTGTGGTCATAGTTCAGTGAGAGAAAATTCAAAGATTTATAGACGTTTGAAACCAAATAAATTGAAAAAGAACATGTGTACATAATATACAACAAGGCACTGAGTAAGGCTCCTGCAAATCTTTGGGTGGAGCTGCCGCCCGCGGAGTTCCAGTGAAATGCTGTGGGGTGTCGCTTTAATGTTAAAGTAACCTTGCAGGAACTTTACGAGAACTTTGCTGGTAGAGGGAAATAATGAAGCACCGTCCAAGCTGGAGATCTTTGAGTTTGTATTGCTATGTGTTTTTCGTCCAGCTGTTTAAAGTAGACGTGTTTATTTTGGACCAAGCCGCCTTATCTATATTATAATACACTAAGCGTTCTAAGCTGCGGGAGGGTCTACTCCAAAATTATTTGGCTGATTTTCTGAATTTTAGTCTCAAAAGAAGCGTGTTTGTATTTTTATTTGCCAGATTCTTGTGTTTGGAATGGCACTGTTGCTATTGCATCATGTCAATGCCATTATGAAGTCATTTCACTCCCAAGGCAAAGCCTATAAAAGCACGGGTCCAGCTACTCAGTGGGTATAACAATAATCATGAACAGACAAAGACAATCCACTTCTCACCCAGTCCGCAGGAGGCGTAGAGAACACTCCTCGTGTGGCAGGAGGAGACATTAGGTCCCTTCCCTTACTAGCCAATAAGGTCAGTGTCCTTTGGGTTGCAAAGCTCACTAGGCAAAAGTATTCTAAATACAAATGATGACTTTAAACTAACTACGACATATGTTCAATCAGATCAAGTGTTAACCGGCAATAGCAGACGTCTGCATAGTGGATGTTTTGGCGGCGTTAGAGGTGGAACTGCATTGGAGCCATAAATCGGTGAGCAACTGCTCTTGCAATCATTGTCATGAAGCCACACCCGCCCCACTCATGTTAGAAGTTCAGAACGAGAATGTGTAGGTTATATAGAATTGATTACGCTCAAATTGAAAAATCATTAAACTAAATATTGAGGATTTTTATCATTGTATTCGAGGTGTAGATTACATCTCACATTCCAGTGTTCTAACTTGTAAACACAGATGCATATGGGATTTCTGTTAAAGCGACTCTGTGCAGCAAATGGCGATGTCCGCTTTAGGAGTAATGCTGGGCGCTTTAGGAGTAATGCTGGGATCCACTTCTTTATTTGACAGCAGCGAAAATAAATGCTATGCGGATGTTGGCTAAAGCGGATCTGATTCAAAGGAGCTCTCAGGCCGGGATTCAGTCAGCTCAAGCATGAACAGGCGATAGCTGACACCCGACGGTGACTGAGGTGTAACTGTATTAAGAGCTGTCAAGCCACACCCCTCCCACTCACGTTAGGCTGTATAGTCTCTCGAAATAATGACACTCAAATTTAAAATCATTAAATGAAATAAGGATCTATATCAGCCTAATCGAGGTGTAGAGGCTGCATGGGATTATTACTAATGCGACTCAGTCCATCCAATGGCAATTTCCGCCATACCCTACCGCACGGAGCTGCTTGTGGATTTGATGTCGTTCTACCTCCGACATCGCCAAAACAACCGCTAAGCAAATGTCGGCTAAAGCGGATCTGATTAAATTGGGCCCTTTCTCTTTTTAATATTTTCCCGGTTTTTATGTTTGGAATGGCACCACTATGGGAGATGATACTGTCATAAAGCATTTGATGTAAGTTAAGATGTAAGTTTGTAGGCCAAATTTGAATCTGTAGAATGACTAGGCCTATTAACCATAATTGTCATTGACTGGACATTCCTAATTACCATAGTAATTAGGCACCACAATAGTAATATTAATTTTGCAACATGCAGTACAGTATAAACTGCACTGCTACGCTAATAGTCTATGGCGGGCAGTGAGTAAAATCTTCAACAGTATCTCATGATGACTCGCTGCCCTGTTTTCCCCAACTCTTAAAAGTTAGGTATATAATGATTTAAATAAGCATGAGTCAAATAAGCACTAGGCCTAAAATCCTTTCAAATAATGCTGTCAAATAAAGCAAGGTATATAATGAGTCAAATAAGCACTAGGCCTGAAACATAGGCCTTGTAGACACCCTGGAGAGGTGGAAATGATACTTCCATGCTTTGAAGTGGTTGCGTCCGTGCAATCTACAGATTCTAGCAGGTCACTTCACTCAAAACGTTATATTTTGGGGGCAGCTAAAACCCTGATTTGGTCAAACAGTACAATATTGATTCCTGCATGAAAGTGTTTGCCCTGCCCCTGTTTCTCCCTGTGTGCTCAGAGTAGCCTAGATTGAGAGAAGGGAAGAGAAAAATGCAATAGTTGCTGAACATTTCTAAATGCAATCGCAAGAAGAAACCGTAGGCTACTGTTGGGGTTTTGGTTTCGAGTTTCCCCTTCCTCAGTGATTAGCCCCAAGTGTGATAGCCTATTTGTACACAAAAGTATATTATTCTCTATTGAACAGAATGAATCGCCAATTCTGAAGCCCTATTTTGACAGTAATATTCTAGCAACAATAGCCTAATTGTCAATCCAAAATTCATGCCAACCACTCACTGGTTTAGGTATGCCATCAAAATATATTCATCATGCATTCCTACTTGGACATGTTAGATGACACAACTTGAGTTGATAAAATTGGTATACCCAGAGATCAGAAAGCTGAACAAATGTTTTGCAGGAGGGGGGAATTGAATTAAATCAAACAATTAATTTCCAATGATTTACCGTCTATAAGGATGGGGTGCCACTAAGCAGTCTGATATTTTAAGGGTTTATTTCAAGCACTTTTAACCCTTACATCACTGTCAATGTTCTCCTTTCAACAATCATTATATATTTAAAGATGCCACTTGAAAAGAGTTTGAGTACTGAGCTGCATATTTACATTTATTGATAATAAAAGAGATGGTTACTTAACAATCGGCAGGCCCCGAGTATTCCAAAGCTTAGAAGTGGGCATCCAATTGAGCCTTCATCCATTAGAAGAACCAAACATGGTACTCATGAGTTGGTAGAAGTTTCTCCTAACCGCTGGTCCAGGGTCAGATTTGTTTAAATTTGGGGTTTGGTATTTGTTAATCTGATCCTAGATCTGTGGTTAGGGACAACTTCTACCTTGAGTCCTTATACATTCTGACTGTCCATGCCCCAACTCTGCACACTCATAGGAACCACCACAGTAACACTAGTCTCACCCTGTAACAAAACCCCTTGTAATGGTAGCACGTTAGCACCTTAGCATAAGAAAGACAAAGCTAGCTGGTTAGCATCAAGAGCCATGAGAAAGTCTGTCTGTCCCAGAGTGTTCAAAATCACGTTTCTCCAAAACATTGAGGGAAGGTGTCCTGACAAGGCTGTCGCAGGGCTCAACCTCCCTCAGCCCTCTGCTAAGTGATGAAAGGTGAAAGGTCTTGGACGACACCTCACCAGGTGCTACACTGGCTACCGTGGCTGCTGATGGATGTGGAGTTGCTGTAGCGCTTTTTTACGATCATGCTAATGTATGCTTTCATCAGTTTGGCAATGTCCATAACCTGGGGAAAGAGTGAAGGAGGAGCGGTTAGGACCTTACAGTTGACACAGTCTCTGTATAACAGAAAAGGGTTTGCAACACTTTCTATGAACGTATAATTATAATACTGTGTACCATTATTACATTGCATTAAAAAACATGCCATTACCATCATGGCTCCTTATAACAGCCTATATAATGGGTGGCTTAACATACCAGACTGGTCTCGAAGAGCAGTTCGCGGCCCTCCACGGCTATCTTGTAGGCGTTTGGCAGTGGGGCCCCAAACGAAAGGATGAGCTCATAGGGGAAGACCTCCAGGGGCCAGGGCTCGCCACGCTTATACACCGAGATGGCCTCCCTGCTCACCCCCAGCCACAGCTCCACTGGGAAGGCCCCGTCACAGGACTAGGAAAGGAGACAAGAAGGAGACAAGGTATGAGTATGAGGAATGGGTCAACGATGGTGACAGATCCATTTATATCACTTATAGAGTTTTCCATTTCGGTCCGGATCTGGGCATTACTTTTTGTTTCAGTCTCATCTTCATCAAGTCCTTTAATCAGGATTGTGTTCACAAGGCACGACACGGAAGAAAACGGACTGAATCAACAGGGAAATACAACATTTGATTTTCCATTGTGTGCCCTAATGAACACAACCTAGGTGTGATAGTGTTGGAATAGAACAAAAATGCGAAATGACTGAGGGTCCCAGACGAAACCCTGTGCTAAATGTCTAAAACCTAAATGTAAACCACTATTTGGTGATGGCCACTCACCTCCACTTCGAAGAGCGTGGATCCATAGCCAGGCCACTCTCTGACCAGGGCCATGTACTTCACCATGGCCTGCTCCTGGTTCATCCCCTGCAGCTTCTTCCACTTGTTCACCAGGCTGGCTCGTGCTGCAGCTATCTCTTCCCTCATCCAGGCCTCCAGCGTATTCTCCTCCTCCAGCTTCTGGCGGCTCATTGAGCCGCTCCTGAAACTACGCCTTAGCGTTCCCTCCAGGAAGCTGGAGCGCTTCTTCTCCGAGTTTCCATCGGAACGGTCCACCACTGACCCCATGCCCAAACCAGTGGCCGGGGAGAAAGTCTTGTTGGAATTTTGGATGCGGGCACACAACCGAGTCATAGGGAACACCTGAGACATTTCGGGCACGGTAGCTTGGGGGTTGTAGTCTCCGAGGAGGTATTGTAGTCTCAGGGCGGCCAAGAACTGGAGGGTCTCCTCCGGGGCTGGGTACTGGCCTCTGATCACCGCCTCATGGGCCTGGAGGAGGACAAGAGAAAGAGAAAGGAGGAAAGAGGAAAAAGAGTGGGGAAAGAGAAAGAGAAGAGAAAAAATAGAGGAGGAATGAGAGACAGGAGTAAGAAAGCGAGAGAGAGAGATAGGTAGAATGAAACAAAGAGGAAGAAGGAATCCTTTATTAAAGGACAACGATTGTCTTTGACAAGCTGTTATCATCGGATTAACGCTTAGACTGGCAGATACACAGCCAACACAACAATAACGGATCTTACTAATTTATTGGCTTCAGACATACCGACAGACAGAAACAGTGTGGATGGATGTTTTTTTTCGCTGGTTCATACCTGCTCAAACATGAAGGCAAACTCAACACAGTCCTTGGGTACATTATCTGTGTCTAAGAAGCAGTAAAGCTTAAAATAGAACTTCCAGCCTGTCTTGGTCTCATCTTGACTTGCAGAGAGCCTGGAAAAGATGAGTGAGTGTTACTAGTACTGTTCACAGACTCACACACGCACACACATGCTCACACCGGTTACTTGCAGTCAGGGTAGGCTAATAAAATAGGTGTTAAAACCCCATTCCTTTTGGTTATCTAATGTTTTTTCTCAATGTTTTTGGGGGCTTTTATGCTCAAAATCAAAACAATTTGCGAAAAATCCATCAAAGGCTCTCGTTGATCTGTGCCTACCTTCCCATCCAGTCAAATCGTTGACATGCGCAGCCATTCCTGACTCCAGTCAATGTTGATGGACATCGTAGGCATAGGCCTCGCTGCTTATACTAGCTTCATTTGTTGCATTGAGCGGAGTTCATATTTTGCGCATGCATATTGTCTTTAAAGCTTAAACATTATTTGGGCGTGTCTACATAATTTGGCGTGCATCCCTTCAACTGAGTAAAAAAGCAACCTGACAAAATGGACACTATACAGCACCTAAAACTATTTTCCAAGTTGGATTTCCAAGGAAAACTTGGTGTAGGCTAAGTCATAAAAGGGAACCCAACACCTGCGCTTCCTGACCTTCATCAGAGGAAGGGACAGAAAATCATCTGATGGTTTAAACGGGAGTGATATGAATGAAAAGACTGGCTGTATGGCTGCGCTACCAGTAGTCGCCTGTACTGTTTCCCCTTTTCAACAGGGTACAACAGAAGGCTGCTACTGCGACCTCAACAACCTGATGCCCTCATCAAACACGAAAAATCAGCATCGCACATCCAACACCAGATCACGGATCGATCTGCCGTTAAATGAGCAGCAAAAACAACAAGTCACCATGCACAATCCAAGGTAGCATAAAGGCAAACCGTGAGATTTTGAAGAAGGACCTTATTAGATAGAGCAACATATTTAGGGAAACTAGAGTTAGCATTTCGGGGTAATGATGAACCCAGACACTTGGGTGTTTTCGGATAGGCTTATATCAAACAGAATACAGAAGGATTTGATTGAAGCAGTCAGTGATGTAAGGACAGATGAATGGACCTAATTTACAAGTAAAGGTAGGCCTAAATGCATTTTCCTTTGCAATTAGCAGGGTAGGCTACTGTTGAATGAACGTGAGAATAACGGTTTAGTGGCGTATTCAAACTTGTAAAACGTTATCAGTGTGCGTGAAATGAACTGTGCCAACAAACCGTCTCCTGGCATGTACACAAACGGAAACAACTGGCTAGACAAAGGTGCTGTCCATTGAGAACCACAGAGTTAACCTGCCCCAGAACTGTCCATTCATCAGTGCTGAATCCTCAGCTACCGTTATAAAATATTTTCCTTTGTAGCTTACTTTCCTCATTTTCGCCATTGTTTGGTCGAGTTTGCTTTGTTTACCTTAATAAAGTAAGTAATGCTTTTGATTTATGCCTTTTATTTCAATGCATTATGTAGATTTATCCATTGCTCACTATCTGTCATTCTTTCCATTTGCTGGTCAGCTGTTTAGAGCGCACCAATTGCTTTGTTTTTCATGTCGGCATTTGATTTATCAAGCTAGAATTTTGCTTTGATTAGAAATGTTTCTGTCATTTTGATTGTATGGAAATGTCATATTTTTTAAAACAATATTAACTATATTATTTATTATATAAATATTAAATAATATTTCACATAATAATATTATTATGTGTGTGTGTGCGTGGTGCATTGAAAAAATTGTCAATTAATTGTGAAAGACTATGGAGTTTGCGTTGTGACCTATTCGGATGAAATGTGTCCATATTGGTTGGTTGTAACTGTGGATGGTTACGTCAGTCTATAGACGGGTTGGTTGACATCACAAAAATTATGCATGCACATCGATGGGCCTGAAGGTCGCGTGATATCATGATTCTGAAAGGTCAGAATGACAAGAAGCTGCCATGTAGGGAATTGTAGGTGGCTCAATTCAGCTAGTTTTATATCTTGTTCTTGATACCATGTCTTGTTTTTAGGTGTTTTTAGAATAATTTGCTAGCTAGCTAACCAACAACTGTAACAATGTATTTGAGAGACAACAAGTGCTCATTGTGCAAATGTATTTATGTTTTCAATAAACATTTGGAGACAATATAGTTTACATGTTGTCAACAATCTAAGCCAACCCTGTCTGTTTTGCCCCGTAGTTGCGAACGCGTTGGTTTTGTTGCTAAACAACCAATCCATCTATTGCTGAGTTGAGTTGAGCAGTGTCATTTTGTCGGATGATATGAAATATGCGGCCTTCGGAGGCTACATTGGTATTTAGGTCTACATTTGGTGAACATTTTTGTTAATTTCGGTTGATAGCCTATGTCACTCTGATTGTTGGAGCTATCTGTTGTATGGTGAACTTGGGCTTCATCAAGGTTTATTTGTGAGTAAATCTGGCTTTGATAATAGCCTGTGCCTACTCAGCCACCGACCTCACCGCACGTCACTGACACACACACACACACACACACACACACACACACACACACACACACACACACACACACACACTTACTTTTCAAACTTGGCAAGGACGTCAGCCACCACTGTACGGCTCTCAATGGCTTTGTCAGTGGTGTCATTGTGCTCAAACAGGGCGAACATGTTCCTGCTGTCCTCCATGGCCAAGCCCCGTATCAGCTTCTCCACCACCTGGGACACACACAGTTATCAACTACTTAGTGAGTGAACTATTTCTGCGGTAAAGAAAATGTTGAAGTAAGCAATAAAACAAATGTATGAAGTCAAAAAAGTTCACTTTTGGCATTTTACGGCGGTTATCTTCAGCTAACTTGCAACCATTTACCTCCCGTATACAGCACACTGTAGACACATAGTAGTATAGGGGCTTGCGAAAGTATTCACCCCCCTTGGCATTTTTCCTATTTTGTTGCCTTACAACCTGGAATAAAATTGATTTTTTGGGGGTTTGTATCATTTGATTTACACAACATGCCTACCACTTTGAAGATGCAAAATATTTTTTATTGTGAAACAAACAAGACATAAGACAAAAAAACTGAAAACTTGAGCGTGCATAACTATTCACCCCCCCGAAAGTCAATACTTTGTAGTGCCACCTTTTGCAGCAATTACAGCTGCAAGTCTCTTGGGGTATGTCTCTATAAGCTTGGCACATCTAGCCACTGGGATTTTTTGCCCAATCTTCAAGGCAAAACTGCTCCAACTCCTTCAAGTTGGATGGGTTCCGCTGGTGTACAGAAATCTTGGGGCATTGACTAGGCCATTCCAAGACATTTAAATGTTTCCCCTTAAACCACTCGAGTGTTGCTTTAGCAGTATGGTTAGGGTCATTGTAGGGCGGCAGGTAGCTTAGTGGTTAAGAGCGTTGTGCCAGTAACCGAAAGGTCGCTGGTTCTAATCCCCGAGCCAACTAGGTGAAAAATCTGTCGATGTGCCCTTGAGCAAGGCACTTAACCCTAATTGCTCATGTAAGTCGCACTGGATAAGAGCGTCTGCTAAATGACTAAAATGTAAATGTAAATTGTCCTGCTGGAAGGTGAACCCCAGTTTCAAATCTCTGGAAGACTGAAACAGGTTTCCCTCAAGAATTTCCCTGTATTTAGCGCCATCCATCATTCATTCAAATCTGACCAGTTTCACAGTCCCTGCTGATGAAAAACAGCATGATGCTGCCACCACCATGCTTCATGGTGTTCTCGGGGTGATGAGAGGTGTTGGGTTTGCGCCAGACATAGTGTTTTCCTTGATGGCCAAAAAGCTCAATTTGAGTCTCATCTGACCAGAGTACCTTCTTCCATATGTTTGGGGAGTCTCCCACATGGCTTTTGGCGAACACCAAACGTATTTGCTTATTTTTTTCTTTAAGCAATGGCTTTTTTCTGGCCACTCTTCCGTAAAGCCCAGCTCTGTGGAGTGTACGGCTTAAAGTGGTCCTATGGACAAATACTCCAATCTCCGCTGTGGAGCTTTGCAGCTCCTTCAGGGTTATCTTTGGTCTCTTTGTTGCCTCTCTGATTAATGCCCTCCTTGCCTGGTCCGTGAGTTTTGGTGGGCGGCCCTCTCTTGGCGGCAGGTTTGTTGTGGTGCCATATTCTTTCATTTCTTTAAATAATGGATTTAATGGTGCTCCGTGGGATGTTCAAAGTTTTGGATATTTTTTTATAACCCAACCCTGATCTGTACTTCTCCACAACTTTGTCCCTGACCTGTTTGGAGAGCTCCTTGGTCTTCATGGTGCCGCTTGCTTGGTGGTGCCCCTTGCTTAGTGGTGTTGCAGACTCTGTGGCCTTTCAGAACAGGTGTATATATACTGAGATCATGTGACAGATCATGTGACACTTAGATTGCACACAGGTGGACTTTATTTAACTAATTATGTGACTTCTGAAGGTAATTGGGTAAATTTGGTATTATGGGGCTTCATAGCAAAGGAGGTGAATATATATGCACGCACCACTTTTCCATTATTTATTTTTTTGAATTTTTTGAAACATGTTATTTTTTTCATTTCACTTCACCAATTTGGACTATTTTGTGTATGTCCATTACATGAAATCCAAATAAAAATCCATTTAAATGACAGGTTGTAATGCAACAAAATAGGAAAAACGCCAAGGGGGATGAATACCTTTGCAAGGAACTGTATATGTCATATTTTGTTTAAGGTTATTGCAGTCCGTTACCCATCACCATTGCCTTTGGATCACCACAACCCTAAACTCCCAACTTGTTTCCCCCCCGGCTCTCACCTCTCCGGCGGTGGTGTGAGAGTTGATTGTGATTTTGCAGGAGCCTCCGCCATGGCAGTACACTGTGGTGGTCATATCCTGGCGCGCCACCACCGCCCGGATCTCCTCCAGGGAGGGCACGTACTCCCGGCCACGCGTCTTCCTCAGGGAGTCCAGGCTGAACGAGGCGTAGCGTTCTATCTCCGTGCCCGGGAAGAGCTCTCGAGTCCTGGAGGAGAAACAGAGGGGAAGCCCTGTTATGCTGGTGCTTTTGTTGAGTTTTCAGTCTCTCTGATACTAATGGAGTATTACTTTCATGAACTGGAAATAACAATTTCAGGATGTGCTTTACCAGATGTGAATTCTACATGACATGCTAGCTGCCACCATATTTTATGTCTATGAATATGACATGGTCATTTGGTAACACTTTATATGAAGGGGGTATACATAATGCCCTCATAACACCTTCATGAAACTATTCATGACCCCTTTGTGAATGCAGCGGTATCATTCATAACAACCTTCATAACACATTTATTCAACATCATTCATAAGGAACCTTCAAAATAAAAGTCATTTTTTCATTGCAATATTACAAGTAATTCTAGTAGAAAAATATAATGGGAGTGAGCCTGATGGTTGTTGGTGTTACTGACTGGGTTAGTCCTACACACCACAAGACTGTCTTAGCCTCTGCTGAGCTAAAGCCAAGGCATTAACATCAGGTCTCAACATGTTACAATGACATCAGTTGCTCTGGTGCCATCCAGACCAGGGATCAAATAGTACTTTTGGGACTATTCCAATGGTTCCATTGTGCCAGGCAAGCTCAATAATCAAGCACAGATAGTTAGAGCAGCCTTTCTCAAACCTCTCCTCAGGAACCCCCAGACGTATTTTAACTATTCCAGAGCTGGCAAACCTGATTCAACTAGTCAACTAATCATAAAGCCCTTACCTAATTGAATCAGGTGTGCTAGTTTGAGGTTACAACAAAACTGTGAAACATCTGGGGGCCCCCCGAGGAGAGGTTTGAGAAGCACTATTGAATTTGAAATACACTATTTACACCCAGGTCTGATTCCAACCCCTAAGGTAGGGAGGTCAAACTCAATTTCTGGAGGGCTGTGTCTTGCAAGTTTTCACTCCTACCTTGTACTTGATTGATCAATTAAGGTCATTGATTAGTTAGGAACTCCACTCACCTGATTGTTTAGGTCTTTATTGGAAAATAATTTTAAGGAGATAACAAAAACCAGCAAGACCCATGGCCCTCCAGGAGTTTGACACCTCAGCCTTAATGCCATTGTGGCCTTGAGCAAGGCATATAAACCCCAAAATGCTACCTGGGTAATACTCTGAGGCTTAGCCGGTGCTCCCAGACTGTTGCGTAAAGAGAGTGTCAGGGGGTTGGCTACTGTGACAGTAAAAACATGAATTTCCGTTGTACTGATGACTTCGACTCTTCGAAGGGACTTTTATTTAAAAATGTCTTATGAATGATGTTAGATAAATGTGTTATGACGGTTGATATGAATAATTTTGCAACACTCATAAAGATGTTATGACTTGTTCCAATAAGGGTTTACCCCCTTCATATAAAGTGCTACTGGTCATTTAGCAGATGGTTTTATGCGAAGCGTTTTACAATCAGCTATCAAAAATACCCAGCATGTGTGGCCCACAACTCCAAAGCTATCAGAACCATTTACACTCTGATCCTTCTTATGTATCGTGCAACAGAATTCAAGACTGACCACATTTCATATTTGGTACAACACCGGGCCCTCTCACCTCTTGAAGTGGAACTTGAGGTACTTGAGGATTCCGCGCGACGGCATGAACGTGCAGCACATGCATGCCAGGATCCTCCAGCTGCACAGGTTCCCAGGGCTGCAGGGCTGTGGGGGGCGCGTGGTCTGTTTGACCAGCTGGCAGTAGAGCTCATCCTTCAGGGGCCTCAGCTCCTGGCCCGTCTGCAGCACGCCCTGGATGATGGGCATGGGGTCGGTAACACCCTCCAGGTGCTGCAGCGAGTTGAACATCTTGAGTGCCTCATCCTGGAGCGTCGTGTAGCCCTTGTTCCTCAGGGCTGCAGAGGGGAAAGGGGGTAGGAATGCGACAATTATAGATATTAACTCAATATTTTCAAAACAGGACATGTCTAATGTACTTATAGTGTGTGTGTGTGTGTGTGTGTGTGTGTGTGTGTGTGTGTGTGAGTGAGTGTGTGTGTGTGTGTGTGTGTGTGAGTGAAAGAGAGTGTGTGTGTGTGTGTGTTTGTGCGTGGCCCTAGTTTTTCAAGGCTGTGGAGGGGAGAGGGAAGAGGTTATTGTCAGTTGGTGAAAAGTGAGAGAGCGAGAGCGAGAGAGAGAGAGAGAGAAAGAAAAAGAGTGTATGTGTGTGAGAGAAGAGAGAGAGAGACGTGTGTGCATGCAGAGGGAAAGAAAGAGGTTGCTATCAGTTGGGGATGTTGGTGAGGGAGGGAGGGGGTGCATAATGAAAGGAGCATAGTGTACGATCTTACAGCTGATGTGGATGTCTCCGTAGGGCAGAGGCAGCAGTGGCGAGTGGAGCGGGTGGTGACTGTAGCGCAGGATGGGGTTCCTCTTATAGATTTGCTCCACCACCTCGGAGTTCAGACAGTTCTCCTATGGATACAAAATGACATGAGAATCACATCGGAAAGGAGTAAAGGACGCTTCAATCTAATTATTTCCCGCAATAAATCTATCACTATTATTTAAATACACATAATCATTGCTCTCATAGACATTCCTATTTTGCACTTGGATGTTTGCAGAGTGACTTAGTTTTGTCATGAACTGAGAGCTTTTTTGTACAATGTGACAGATTTAGAGATTGCTCCGCTTCCCTTACCTTGATGTCCTGGATGAGCTTCTGGGTGGGAGTGTTGATGGGGGCCTTGGTGTCGATGACGTTCTGCATGGCGCTGGCCCAGCGGGTGGACTCGTTCAGCAGCTTGGTGTAGAGACGGTACGAGTGCTTCCGGCCGTAAACTGTGACGTTCCAGTAACCTGGGAAATTAAAAGATTTAAAATTACAATTACATTTACTGAAAATGTATGAATTCAGTGTATTGTTAGTTGTTTTGGATATCATCTAGATTCAGGCCTATATGATCAGGATTATTTTCTAAGTAAGATCAACATTAATCATTTTTTAACATTAAACCTGTCTTCGATTGAGATTAGAGTCAAGATATGAATTGCCACAATGATATTTGTTCTTCAAATTATGTATTTTATTAAAACAGAACAATTAAGTAAGGTTATCTTGAAAAATAAATGTAAAACTAATTGAATAAATTAAAGGGTTATATCAGTCTTAAGTATTATATCCTTCTGATGTTACATAGACTCATTTGGAAGTCCACAACAATGCTTAAACCACATCAGGAGACCACTTTTGAGGTCTGGGAAAAATCAGAGAAATTGAGATTTTTAGGTGTAGTTACACTTTAATTCATGTTCACCTAGCAAGAGGACAGAGGCCCATAGGGGGCACAGGGGCACGTGTCCCCTCAGATTTGTCCTGTTTAAAAAACTAAGATTTTTATGCGCAACGCGCTTCAGCACTCGGCGGTCCCGTACTGTGAGCTTATGTGGTCTACCGCTTCGCGGCTGAGCCGTTGTTGCTCCTAGCAGTTTCCACTTAACAATAACAGCACTTACAGCTGACCGGGGCAGCTCTAGCAGGGCAAAAATTGTATGAACTGACCTGTTGGAAAGGTGGCATCATATGACAGTGCCACGTTGAAAGTCACTGAGCTCTTCAGTAAGGCCATTCTACTGCCAATGTTTGTCTATGGAGATTGCATGGCTGTGTGCTCGATTTTATACACTGTCAGCAACGGGTGTGGTTGAAATAGCCGAATCCACTCATTTGAAAGGGTGTCCACATACTTTTGTATATATAGTGTATTTTTCAGTGAGCATTGCATATACTCACTTCTTAATCCCCACAATGCGTATCAAAGTAGTGTAGTGGAAGTATACGCTGTATCAATTAGTAAGGCTGATGGCACACATCAGAATGTTTAGCTGATATTATTGATAAACTATTATTTCTTCACATTTTAGGCACAGCAAAGTGCACACGGCAGTAGGCCTACGTGCCAATGTTCCAAAATTCAATTTGCGGGAAAACACCTTTTTAAAATGTGCACCACTTATGCGAGCGGTTTCATGGTCAGAGATGGAAATATCCGGTAGAAATTTAGAAATAGGGGAAGATTAAAGATACAACAACTATCATGGATTGATAATATGACTAGGATAATGCCTTTCGCAGCTAGACAATGAAAGAAAACCAATAGAACTGGAGGAAGTGAGGAAGTATTTATAAAATAATTGCCTCCACGTTTCCATGGTGGGACTTTGGCTATAGGCGACTTTGAAGCAAGGTAAGATATGCCTCATAATATGAAGTAAAACATCAGGTTTCATATATAGCGATGCTAATGATAGACCTAACCATACTCTGGAAGATGGAAAGGCTTTCCCAATAACCTTCTCAATTAACCCGATTGACGCATCCGTCAGTTTAAGCTACAGATATCTTTTTTTTTTGCATTGGATGCATCTCAATCCATCGCACTTCTGCATCTGCGGTGAAAGGTGGCAGAGCTATGTGTATGTCAGACCATGAGACATCCCGAAAATCGGTCTTCTCGCGAAAAACGTCTGTGAACGGTTTGACCCACAAACTATTATGACCACTCTATGGAAAGGGGAGACTCTCCGTTTTGCTCTACGACCCCCACAAGTGTCAGGGGACTCGTCTGAAGTCGGTACCGTCGATGTGGCAACTTCTGTTTTTAGCGTCCGAACTGTTTGGGCTACAAACTAATGAGACCCCACTGTGGAAAGGGAATACGATGGAGTTCTCCGTTTTTCTCTACGACCCCCACAACTGTCACGGGAAGTATGAAGGCAGTTTTGTGCCTACCCAAAAAAGGGGTCAAATGTGTAAAAGAAAACAAAAAATATAATATGAGCGGTTCTTATGTCTCCTAGATAAAGGACAAACATTAAAAGCCCCCGTCCAATGGCTTTTAAGAATGAAATGTTAACTAGCCTATGCCTAACTGGCAGAATGATATCATGATTATTTGCAACAATCCAGAGACCATTTGTTTTGCAAACTCCAATAGAAACACCTTTAACCAAACAACAGTGCTAGGTGCCTGTACACTTGAATTAAAGGCTAACTACATTAAAGAAATCAGAATTTCTTTTTTTCTCAGTGGTCTCCTGATGTGGTTTAAGCATTGTTATGGACTTACATCCAATTTTGTTGTTTTACTATTTAAAAAAGTGTGACTTCAAGAGCAAAAACCTGAAAAAAAGGGAAAGGATCTGAAACCTGTGAATTTCTGACTCAGTTGACAGCCTAATTTATCTGTTTCAATAGTAGGCCTACTATTATCCTACTTGTACAGTACAGCTTGGGTTGGTCTGACTGTGAAAGACCAATATGGGATTTATCATTTTAGGTAATTCACAGTGTGTCATTGTTTCTCATAGAATCTTTCACACAGGGAAACTTTCCTTCACCGGGTGGGCCGTTTGGGACATTTTTGGCAAAATTTGAGTATACCCACTTCTCCAGGCACCACTACACTGCTTTTAGATGCACGCACAAATACAGTTAACCATGCTGCAACTTGTTTTCTTGTTACTTCTGTGGCGAACTCACAAACTGTCAATTATCTGTCTTCACCGCAAGTGGCGCAGTGGTCTAAGGCACTGCATCGCAGTGCTAACTGTGCCACTAGAGATCCTGGTTCGAATCCAGGCTCTGTCGCAGCCGGCCGCGACCGGGAGACTCATGGGCGGCGCACAATTGGCCCAGCGTCGTCCAGGGTAGGGGAGGGAATGGCCGGCAGGGATGTAGCTCAGTTGATAGAGCATGGCGTTTGCAATGCCAGGGTTGTGGGTTCGATTCCCACGGGGGGCCAGTATAAAAAAATATGTATTCACTAACTGTAAGTCGCTCTGGATAAGAGCGTCTGCTAAATGACTAAAAATGTAAAAATGTAAAAACTCACTGACTGGAGGCGGGACCTGAAACGAGCAGGTTAAAAAGAACATCTCTGATTGGACAGAAAGTTAGGGGTGATTCGACTGATGAGCTGTCGGTTATTCTAACTAAAAGGGACAAACTAGGGGTGCATAGGGAAATCTAAATATGAAGGCCTTTTCTACAGTGATCTTGTTAGTATGAGATAATAGCAGCATTTCCATGACTACATATAATAATAATAATAATAATAATAAGCCATTTAGCAGACGCTTTTATCCAAAGCGACTTACAGTCATGTGTGCATAAATTTTTACGTATGGGTGGTCCCGGGGATCGAACCCACTACCCTGGTGTTACAAGCGCCATGCTCTACCAATTTAGCTATTACGACATATCATTGTGTTTTCACACTTTCACTCTCATTTTAGAAAATTCCCACCCACTTCCAGACTCTCCAAGCATTTTTTATACAAAATAAAATAAAACAAACAAAACAAACAAAACCCAGAAGAAAAAGGCCCTGCAGGGACGGGACTTCCTCCCTCAGCACACCTGTATCCTAATCAGTGTGGCTACCACATGGACTGAGAGAAGTGTTTTGTGATAGTTTATAGTTTATAGTTTTGTGATAGTTTATAGTTTATTTCCAGTTTCACCTGGATGCGTTATTGATTACGTTTGTCCTCTTTCCTTTTACATATGTATCTGATGTGGTTTAGAGCCCTCAAACTCAACTCTGGATCTCGAAGCCAGTTCCACTGCATTTTTCATTGTTCCCCTCTAATCAGGGACTGATTTAGACATGGGACACCAGGTGTGTGCAATTAATTATCAGGTAGAACAGGAAACCACCATTTTACCAACCACTGCCTAGTTTGTTAGCCATTAGCCTTATCCTCTTATACAGTCCTTTGTTCTTGAGTATCTACTTATCCTTATATTGTTGTACTGAATCAGATATGCATTCTTTATATGTTTTATTTCCTAGAAACCATCCATACATCCAACTTTCATCCTTACATCCATACCATCTTCCTTTACCAACATCGAAGCCTAAAAGATCAATACCAAGAAGACATACCTGTTTAAAATAAATTGGTCAAAGGTTACACTCCTCTCACCTTGTGTTCCTACAGACGCACCCATTGTATTACCACCCAACCATCCCTTACCAGTTTCATTAAGCTATCTTTCACACATTCTTCCCCGAATCGTACTGTCCTGGCTCGGATATTCTCTTTTCACATAGTCCTTTCTAGCAAGGTTCGCACAACTATGATGAAATGCGTAACTAAGCCAGCACCGTACAGCTTGGCTTGACTTGGCTCAGCTCAGTAGTGTGAAAAGGGTATCACCTGGACGTGTAACCAAGCCAGAAAAGTACAATACAGCTCGGCTTAGCTCGTAGTGTGAAAACTTTATCAGGTGCGTGTGAAACCAGGCCAGCACAGTAAAATACAGCTTGGCTCAACTCAGTAGTGTGAAAAGGCAATCACGTGGATGGGTAACCAAGCCAGCAAAGTGCAATACAGCTCGGCTCAGCTCAGTAGTGTGAAAAAGGTATATGTAGCTAATCCAGTTCTAACCTGTCTCCTTGAAGACCTTCTCGTCAGGCTGCACCACTGAGCACAGGCTGTTGAGCACCAGGGTGCCCAGCTTGAGGGCGTTGCGCTCCGAGCTTTTATAGTAGTCCAGGGAGTTGTGGGTGAGTAGGAACCAGCGCTTCTTCAGCTTCAGAGAGGCTCTGCTGCTGTTCTTCATCTCCTTGTGGAGCCAGCCTAACGAGGGAGATATTTGGACCATTTTACAACTCAATCAAAATCAAATATCAACCGAAATGTATCTCTAAAGTTGTAGCATAATATAATATAACAATCTGATCTGAAATGCTGTAACATAATATAATAACATAATGTCGGACCTCTGATGATGAACTCCTGTCCCTCCACACGTGCGTCTCCTTTGGAACGTTGTAGCAACGTTATCCAGTGGTGCATCTCTTCAGGAGTGTCGGCATTGCAGTGTAACACCCTGTTAGCTGTGATCATCACAAATGAGTTGGGCCTGGGAAGGGAGAGGAGTGGAGTTGTAGATTTAGTTCAACTATGTTTATTTTAATGTATCTTTGTATTTGTATTTATTAAGGATCCCCATTAGCTGCTGTCAAGGCAGCAGCTACTCTTCCTGGGGTCCAGCAACATTAAGGCAGTTATATGCAATTTAAAAAATTACATGACATTACATTTAATAACACTTTTCACAACACATTAATTGTGTTCCCTCGGGCCACTACTCTACTACCACATATCTACAATACAAAATCCATGTGTATGTGTGTGTAGAGTGTGTGTCTTATCATGTCTATGTGTGTCAGTGCCTGTGTGTGTCTCTTTGCAGTCCCCGCTGTTCCATAAGGTTTATTTTTATCTGCTTTTTAAATCTGATTCTACTGCTTGCATCAGTTACCTGATGTGGAATAGAGTTCCATGTAGCCATTGCTCTATGTAGTACTGTTCACCTCCAATAGTCTGTTCTTGACTTGGGGACTGTGAAGAGACCTCTGGTGGCATGTCTTGTGGGGTATGTATGGGTGTCCGAGCTGTGTGCTAGTAGTTTAAACAGACACCTCGGTGCATTCAGCACATCAACACTTCTTACAAAAACAAGTAGTGATGAAGTCAATCTCTTCTCCACATTGAGCCATGAGAGATTGACATGCATATTATTAATGTTAGCTCTCTGTGTACATTTAAGGGCCAGCCGTGCTGCCCTGTTCTGAGCCAACAGTAGTCCAGGTGCGACAAAACTAGGGCCTGTAGGACCTGCCTTGTTGATATTGTTGTTAAAAAGGCAGAGCAGCGCTTTATTATGGACAGACTTCTCCCCATCTTAGCTACTGTTGTATCAACATGTTTTGACCATGACAGTTTACAATCCAGGCTTACTACAAGCAGTTTAGTCACCTCAACGTTCTTAATTTCCACATTATTTATTACAAGACTTAGTTGAGGTTTAGGGATAAGTGAATGATTTGCCCCAAATACAATGCTTTTCGTTTTTAAAATATTTAGGACTAACTTATTCCTTGCCACCCATTCTGAAACTAACTGCAGCTCTTTGTTAAGTGTTGCAGTGATTTCACTCACTGTAGTAGTTAACGTGTATAGTGTTGAGTCATCCGCATATATAGACCTTAACACCCCTCTGTGTTCTGTTAGACAGGTAACTATTTATCCACAATATAGCAGGGGGTGTAAAACCATAACACATATGTTTTTCCATCAGCAGACTATGATCGATAATGTCAAAAGCCACATTGAAGTCTAACAAAAGTAAGACTTCAATAGTTTACTATACTAAGGGTTGGTAACAGGCTGATTGGTCAGGTATTTGAGCCAGTAAAGGAAGCTTTACTATTCTTGGGTAGCGGAATGACTTTTGCTTCCCTCAAGGCATGAGGGCACACACTTTCTAGTAGGCTTAGATTGAAGATATGGCAAATAGAAGTGGCAATATCGTCCGCAATTATCCTCAGTAATTTTCCATCCAAGTTGTCAGACCCCAGTGGCTTGTCATAGTTGATAGACAACAATACTTTTTTCACCGCTTCCACACTCACTTTACGGAATTAAAAATTACAATGCTTGTCTTTCATAATTTGGTCAGTTATAATTGGATGTCAGCGTTTATTGCTGGCATGTCATGCCAAAGTTTGCTAATCTTGCCAATGAAAAAATCATGAAAGTAATTGGCAATATCTGTGGGTTTTGTTTTTATTTATTTATTTATTTCACCTTTATTTAACCAGGTAAGCCAGTTGAGAACAAGTTCTCATTTACAACTGCGACCTGGCCAAGATAAAGCAAAGCAAAGTTTGCCCTTTTGCCCAAAATTTCATTTAATGTGCTCCAAAGCTTTTTACTGTCATTCAGAGAGGCAACAAAGAGACCAAAGATAACCCTGAAGGAGCTGCAAAGCTCCACAGCGGAGATTGGAGTATCTGTCCATAGGACCATTTTAAGCTGTACACTCCACAGAGCTGGGCTTTACGGAAGAGTGGCCAGAAAAAAGCCATTGCTTTAAGAAAAAAAGAAGCAAACACGTTTGGTGTTCACCAAAAGGCATGTGGGAGACTCCCCAAACATATGGAAGAAGGTACTCTGGTCAGATGAGACTAAAATTGAGCTTTTTGGCCATCAAGGAAAACGCTATGTCTGGCGCAAACCCAACACATCTTATCACCCCGAGAACACCATTCCCACAGTGAAGCATGGTGATGGCAGCATCATGCTGTGGGGATGTTTTTCATCAGCAGGGACTGGGAAACTGGTCAGAATTGAAGGAATGATGGATGGCGCTAAATACAGGAACATTCTTGAGGGAAACCTGTTTCAGTCTTCCAGAGATTTGAGACTGGGACGGAGGTTTACCTTCCAGCAGGACAATGATCCTAAAGCAACACTTGAGTGGTTTAAGGGGAAACATTTAAATGTCTTGGAATGGCCTAGTCAAAGCCCAGACCTCAATCCAATTGAGAATCTGTGGTATGACTTAAAGATTGCTGTACACCAGCGGAACCCATCCAACTTTAAGGAGCTGGAGCAGTTTTGCTTTGAAGATTGGGCAAAAATCCCAGTGGCTAGATGTGCCAAGCTTATAGAAACATACCCCAAGAGACTTGCAGTTGTAATTGCTGCAAAAGGTGGCTCTACAAAGTATTGACTTTGGGGTGGGGGTGAATAGTTATGCACGCTCAAGTTTTCTGTTTTTTTGTCTTATTTCTTGTTTGTTTCACAATAAAAAATATTTTGCATCTTCAACGTGGTAGGCATGTTGTGTAAATCAAATGATACAAACCCCAAAAAAATCAATTTTAATTCCAGGTTGTAAGGCAACAAAATAGGAAAAATGCCAAGGGGGGTGAATACTTTCGCAAGCCACTGTATCATTTATCTTTGATTCATAGTATGGTTTCCTTATCTTTTTATTCAGTTTAGTGACATGATTTCTCAATTTGCAGTACGTTTGCCAATCGGTTGTGCAGCCAGACTTATTTGCCATTCCCTTTGCCACATCCCTCTCAACCATACGATTTTTCAATTCCTCATCAATCCATGGGGATTTAACAGTTTTTCCAGTCATTTTCTTAGTGTGTGCATTAGTAACTGGAATAAACAATTTCATAAATGTGTAAAGTGCAGCATCTGGTTGCTACTCATTACACACCACAGACCAACAAATATTATTTACATCAACAACATAGGAATCACTACAAAACGTATTGTACGACATCTTATATAGTGTATATTAGGCCCAGCTTTTGGAACTTTGGTTTTCCTAGATATGGCTACTATCTTGTGATCACTACATCCGATGGATTTGGATACTGCTTTAAAGCAAATGTCTGCAACATTAGTAAAGATGTGATCAATACATGTTGATGATTTTGTTCCTGTGCTGTTTGTAACTACCCTGGTAGGTTGACTGATAACCTGGACCAGGTTGCAGGCACTGGTTACAGTTTGAAGCTTTTTCTTGACTGTGCAGCTTGATGAAAGCCAATCAATATTTAAATCACCCAGAAAATATACCTCTCTGTTGATATCACATACATTATCAACATTTCACACATGTTATCCAGATACTGACTGTTAGCATTTGGTGGTCTTTAGCAGCTTCCCACAAGAATGGGCTTTAGGTGAGGCAGATGAACCTGTAGCCATATTACTTCAACAGTATTTAACATGAGATCCTTTCTAAGCTTTACAGGAATGTGGTTCTATGTGGTTCTATAAACAGCAACACCTCCACAATTGGCATTTGTCTTTTCTGTAGATGTTATAACCAGAATAGTAGAGAATGGAAAATAATAGAATAGAACAGAATATAATAAAATATAATTACTTTATTTTCCCCACATTTAAAGGATAATAGTTGACAATGACTTTTAGGAATTTAGCGATATACAGTGGGGTCCCAAATTATTGACACACTAGATAAAGATTAGCAAAAATAACTGTATAAAATAAATAACTAAAATCCTGAGCTATACTGTATGCTTAAAACATTTGCGAAATTATATTATTTTATACTAATACAATTGCTCAGAGAAAAATATTTTGTTTAACAAGTAATACTTATTTCTCAAAAAGATAGAGATCAAAATTATTGACACCCCTGTTTTCAATACCGTTCAATAACTCACTTTGCGAGGTTAACGGCACTGAGCCTTTTTCTAAAATGTTTTATGAGATTGGAAAACACATTGGGAGGGATCATAGACCATACAGAATCCTTCCAGATCCTTGATATCCTTTGTCTGCGCTTATGGACTGCCCTCTTCAATTCAAACCACAGGTTGAGATGGCCATTGCAAAATGTTCATTTTGTGGTCAATTAACCAGTTCTTTGTGGATTTGGATGTGTGCTTGGGGTTATTATCTTGCTAGAAGATCCACTTGTGGCCAAGTTTCAGCCTCCTGGCAGAAGCAACCAGGTTTTTGGCTAAAATGTCCTGGTACTGGGTAAAGTTAATGATGCCGTTGACCTTAACAAGGGCCCCAGGACCAGTGGAAGCAAAATAGCCCCATAATATAAAATATCCACCACCATATTTTACAGTCAGTATGGGTTTCTTTTCTGCGTATGCATCCTTATGTAGACGCAAAACCCACCACTGTTGTGCGTGGCCAAAGAGCTCTATTTTTCATGTCATCCAACAAATGTAAACGCCTGGAGTATGCTAAACAGCATTAGCACTTGGATCGGAACCAGTGCTATGGTCAGATGACATGAAAAGAAAGCTATTTGGCCATGCACACCAGTGGTGGGTTTGCCATCAAAATGAGAATGCAGAAGCAGAAAAGTACCTCATACTTACTGTAAAATATGGTGGTGGATCTTTGATGTTATGGGGCTATTTTGCTTCCATGGTCCTGGGGCCCTTGTCAACAGCATCATGAACTTTACCCAGTGCCAGGACATTTTAGCCAAAAAGCTGGTTGCCTCTGCCAGGAGGCTGAAAGTTGGATCTTCCAGCAAGACAATAACCCTAAGCACAAATCAAAATCCACAAAGAACTGGTTAATTGGTCACAAAAGCAACATTTTGCAATGGCCGTCTCAGTCTCCAAACTTGAAACCCATTGAAAACCTGTGGTTTGAATTGAAGAGGGCAGTCGAAGGATATCAAGAATCTGGAAGGATTCTGTATGGAGGAATGGTCTAAGATCCCTACCAATGTGTTCTCCAACTCATAAAACATTTTACATTGAAAAAAATATAAACGCAACATGCAACAATTTCTAAGATTTTACTGAGTTACAGTTCACATAAAGAAATCAGTCAATTTATAAATAAAAAAATAAAAATAAATATGCCATTTAGCAGACGCTTTTATCCAAAGCGACTTACAGTCATGCGTGCATACATTTTTTTTGTGAATGGGTGGTCCCGGGGATCGAACCCACTACCTTGGCGTTACAAGCGCCGTGCTCTACCAGCTGAGCTACAGAGGACCAATTTAAATAAATAAATGAGGCCCTAATCTATGGATTTCACATGACTGGGAATACAGATTTGCATCTGTTGGTCACAGAAACCTTAAAAAATAGGTAGGGGCGTGGGATAAGAAAACCAGTCAGTATCTGGTGTGACCACCATTTGCCTCATGCATTTCCTTCGCATAGAGTTGATCAGGCTGTTGATTGTGACCTGTGCAATGGCGGGAACTGGAACACGCTGTCCTACAAGTTGATCCAGAACATCCCAAACATGCTCAAGGGGTAACATGTCTAGTAAGTATGCAGGCCATGGAAGAACTGGGACATTTTCAGCTTCCAGGAATTGTCTACAGATCCTTGTGACATGTGGCCATGCATTATCATCCTGAAACATGAGGTGATGGCGGCGGATGAATGGCACGACAATGGGCCTCAGGATCTTGTCACGGTGCATTAAAATTGCCATAGATAAAATGCAATTGGGTTTGTTGTCCGTAGCCCATACCATAACCCCACCGTCACCATGGAACCCTCTGTTCACAATATTGACATCAGCAAACCACTCGCCCACACGACGCCATATACGCTGTCGGCCATCTGCCCGATACAGTTGAAACCGGGATTCATCCGTGAAGAGCACAGTTCTCCAGCGTGCCAGTGGCCATCGAAGGTGAGCATTTGCCCACTGAAGTCAGGTACAATGCCGAACTGCATTCAGGTCAAGACCCTGGTGAGGACGATGAGCACGCAAATGAGTTTCCCTGAGACAGTTTCTGACAGTTTGTGCAGACATTCTTCGGTTGTGCAAACACACAGTTTCATCAGCTGTCCGGGTGGCTGGTCTCAGACGATCCCGCAGGTGAAGAAGCTGGATGTGGAGGTCCTGGGCTGGCGTGGTTAAACTTGGTCTGCGGTTATGAGGCCGGTTGGACGTATTGCCAAATTCTCTAAAGCGATGTTGTAGAAAAATTATGGTAGAAAAATATACATTAAATTATCTGGCAACAGCTCTGGTGGACATTCCCGCTGTCAGCATGCCAATTGCACGCTCAAAACTTGAGACATCTGTGGCATTGTGATTCGTGGCAAAACTGCACATTTTAGAGTGGCCTTTCATTGTCCCCAGCACAAGGTGCACCTGTGTAATGATCATGCTGTTTAATCAGCTTCTTGATATGCCACACCTGTCAGGTGGATGGATTATCTTGGCAAAGGAGAAATGCTCACTAACAGGGATGTAAACAAATGTGTGCACAACATTTGAGAGAAATAAGCTTTTTACATGTTGCGTTTATATTTTTGGTCAGTATAGAAAAAGGCTCAGTGCCGTAATCCTCGCAAGGTGAGGTATTGAAAGGTATTGAAAACTGGGGTGTCAATAATTTTGACCCCTATCTTTTTGAGAAAAAAAGTATTAATTGTTAAACAAAATCTCTTTCTCTGAGCAATTGTTTTAGTATAAAATATTATATTTTGCCTTTTTTTTCATACAATATAGCTCAGTCTTTGAACTATTTATTTTATACAGTCATTTTTCCTCATCTTTATCAAGGGTGTCAATCATTTTTGACCCCACTGTAGGTGCAACATAAATCTGAGATTGTGGTGAATGTGGAGATTTGTCTGAAGCTTACCGTTCAGGGTTGTCTGACGCACAGACTGAATCGATCAAGCCAACATCGAGGGTTCCCTGAGGAGAGAGAGAGAGCCCTTGTATGAGAGAGAATAGATGTCCTTCAACTACCAGTCAGAGCACAAACTCACTTTACACAAAAGATAAGGTTCAGTGTGATTGGGCTTCTGATGTGAGTTTGACCATCTTCCAACTCCCTATGTTTTCATTATTTCCCCACATCCACACACACACACTCACAAATGCACACACACACACGCACACGCACACGCACACGCACACGCACACACAGTCTTGTACAACTAACCTTGTGGGGACACACAATTCAGTCCCATTCAAAATCCTATTTTCCCTTACCCTAACCCTAACCTTAACCCTAACCTTAACCCGAAAACCTAACCTTAACCCTAACCCTAGCTCGTAACCCTAAAACTAACCCTAGCTCCTAACCCTAAACCTAATTCTAACCCTAACACTAATTCTAACCTTAACCCTAAACCCCCTAGAAATAGCATTTGACCTTGTGGGGACCAACAAAATGTCCCCAGTTGATCAAAAAAAATGTGTTTACTATTCTTGTGGGGACTGTTTAAACACACACGCGCTCACACATGCACGCACACACACAAACACACACACATTATTTGTTGTGTTGTTTCCTGTTTGGACCCCAGGAAGAGTAGCCGCTGCCTCAGCAACAGCTAATAAATACTAAATACCTGTTCTGAAACTGACCCCATCCCCCCATCTGCTCACACTGTCTTCCAGCATTCTGTATACCCAGCTTTCCCTTTACATACTGTTTAACCAAAGCTCCCGTATTGAACTCTATTCCCATCATCCTCCTCTTCTTCCTGTAGAACTCACCACTGCATTCTGGGGGTTGGCTTGTTCGTCGTGCATCTCCCTGATCTCTTGCTCTGTGGAGGTGTGCACCTGGCTGAGCACGCTGAACCACTGACTGAAAACACAGAGAAGAGTGTCAGCCAATAGGAACCACAGAAACCACACACAGGAACAATACAACAACAATACAATACCTATTTATTGTCCATTAGTTACAGAGAACAACAGAAATGTGTCTTCTGCTCCGTTCTCACTAAATGTTACAGCAATACCTAATAAAACCTTTCTCGTGAATGACCTCATTACTGAGCGCAAAGTTGATTGGATGTTTCTCACTGAAACATGGCTGTCATCAGACTGTAGTGCCGCTCTTATTGAAGCCTCCCCCTCAGACTACAGCTTTTCAAACTGTATCAGAAAAGGGAAAAAAAGTGTTGGGGGACAGACTCTATTTTTACTAATGCGCTCAGCTGTAAGGATATTTCATTTGGCGACTTGGATCTTTTGAGCATCATGCTATACTGTTTAAATGTCAGCCACCAGTGCTGGCCATAACCCTGTATAGGCAACCAAAGCACTGAACCACTTTCTTTACTGATTTATCTGAACTATTGTCTATTGTACTTGAGAACTATGATAAAATCATTGTGTTGGGCGAATTTTATATTGATGTTGACAAAGAGACTGACTCCAAGGCCATTGAATTTATGAAGCTTTTGAGCTCTATGGACTTTATCTGGACCTGGTTATTACCACAAGGTTTTCTATTGACATATCCTCTATTGTTGATGTTGCTTTATCTGATCACCACTGTGTATTTTCTACTACCTTGTTGCCCATAGCACAGGGTAATACTGAATGCATTATTAAGAAACGCTATCTTACCTTTGAAGTTTCTGCAGATTTGATTGAGTGTATGAACAATACTCCATAAACTATTCTGCCTTCCTCGTGATGATTTAGTTGATAACTTTAATAGCAAATTAAGGGCAAGCATTGATGCCATAGCTCCAGTAAAGTTGAAAAAGGTCACATCCAAATGGATGAGTGAGGAAACTAATCAATTAAAGAGAAATTGCAGAAAGGCAGAGCGGAAGTGGAGAAAGTCAAAATTGCAGGTCCATAATGATATTCTGAGAGAGCAACTTGGCACATACAGTACCAGTCAACACACCTATTCATTCAAGGGTTTTTCTTTATTTTTGCTATTTTCTACCTTGTAAAATAATAGTGAAGACATCAACACTATGAAATAACACATATGGAATCATGTAGTAACCAAAAAGGTGTTAAACTAATCAAAATATATTTTATATTTGACATTCTTCAAAGTAACCACCCTTTGCCTTGATGACAGCTTTGCACACTCTTGGCATTCTCTCAACCAGCTTCACCTGGAATGCTTTTCCAACAGTCTTGAAGGAGTTCCCACATATGCTGAGCACTTGTTGGCTGCTTTTCCTTCCCTCTGAGGTCCAACTCATCCCAAACGATCTCAATTGGTTAGAGGTCGGGTGATTGTGGAGGTCAGGTCATCTGATGCAGCACTCCATCACTCTCCTTCTTGGTAAAATAGCCCTTACACAGCCTGGAGGTGTGTTGGGTCATTGTCCTGTTGAAAAACAAATGATAGTCCCACTAAGCCCAAACCAGATGGGATGGCGTATCGCTGCAGAATGCTGTGGTAGCCATGCTGGTTAAGTGTGCCTTGAATTCTAAATAAATCACAGACAGTGTCACCAGCAAAGCATCCCCACACCATCACAACTCCTCCTCCATGCTTCACGGTGGGAACTACACATGCGGAGATCATCCGTTCACCTACACTGCGTCTCACAAAGACACGGCGGTTGGAACCAAAAATCTCCAATTTGGACTCCAGACCAAAGGACAGATTTCCACCGGTCTAATGTCCATTGCTTGTGTTTCTTGGCCCAAGCAAGTCTCTTCTTCTTATTGGTGTCCTTTAGTAGTCATTTCTTTGCAGCAATTCAACCATGAAGGCCTGATTCACGCAGTCTCCTCTTGAACTCTGTGAAGCATTTATTTGGGCTGCAATTTCCGAGGCTGGTAACTCTAATGAACTTATCCTCTGCAGCAGAGGTAACTCTGGGTCTTCCTTTCCTGTGGCGGTCCTCATGAGAGCCAGTTCCATTATAGCGCTTGATGGTTTTTGCGACAGCACTTGAAGAAACGTTCAAAATTCTTGAAATTTTCCAGATTAACTGACCTTCATGTCTTATAGTAATGATGGACTGTCGTTTCTCTTAGCTTATTTGAGCTGTTCTTGCCATAATAAGGACTTGGTCTTTTACCAAATAGGGCTATCTTCTGTATACCTTGTCACAACACAACTGATTGGCTCAAACGCATTAAGAAGGAAAGAAATTCCACACATTAACAAGGCACAGCTGTTAATTGAAATGCATTCCAGGTGACTACCTCATTACATTTTACATTTTAGTCATTTAGCAGACTTATCCAGCGCGACTTACAGTTAATGAGTGCATAAATGTTTCATACTGGCCCCCCGTGGGAATCGAACCCACAACCCTGGCGTTGCAAGCGCCATGCTCTACCAACTGAGCTACAGGAAGCTGGTTGAGAGAATGCCAAGAGTGTGCAAAGCTGTCATCAAGGCAAAGGGTGGCTACTTTGAAGAAACTCAAATATAAAATATATTTTGATTTGTTTAACACTTTTTGGTTACCACATGATTCCATATGTGTTATTTAATAGTTTTGATGTCTTCACTACTATTCTACAATTAAGAAAAACCCTTGAATGAGTAGGTGTGTCCAAACTTTTGACTGGTACTGTATAACAAGGCATTTAGAAATGCCAGATGGGCTAATTTTTCTAACTTGATCACTATTAATCAGAATAATTCGAGAGTACTCTTCTCTATCACTGATGGCCTGATAAATCCTAACTTTCCTCCACATCTAAATGTGATGAGTTTGTGGCATATTTCAGAGATAATATAACCAACATTAGGCTGGGTATCAGTCAAGCAAGACCTGATGAGAAGTTTGGTGATTTGTGCCTTCCACGCAAAGGCCCTAAGGATTTATTTTCCCTGGTTGACACAGACATGCTCAGGAAAGTGATATCACAATTTAAGCCTTCTACCTGCCTTATCTTGATTATTGTCCAGTCGTGTGGTCGAGTGCTGCAAGGAAAGACCTAGTTAAGCTGCAGCTGGCCCAGAACAGAGCGGCACGTCTTGCTCTTCATTGTAATCAGGGGTATAAATATATATAAATACTATGCATGCCAGTCTCTCTTGGTTAAAAGTTGAGGAGAGACTGACTGCATCACTTCTTCTTTTTATAAGAAACATTAATGTGTTGAAAATCCCAAATTGATTGCATAGTCAACTTACACACAGCTCTGACACACACACTTACCCCACCAGACATGCCACCAGGGGTCTTTCCACAGTCCCCAAATCCAAAACACATTCAAGAAAGCGTACGGTATTATATGTATTGCTCAAGTGAACAGCCAACCTGGTTTCAAAAAACAGATAAAGCAACACCTCACGGCACAACGCATCTCACCTATTTGACCTAGATAGTTTGTGTGTATGTATATGTATGTGTGCCTTTTGTAAAAAATAAAACAATTTATGTAGTTCTGTCCTTGAGCTGTCTATTAATGTTCTGTATTATGTCATGTTTCATGTTTTGTGTGGACCCCAGGAAGAGTAGCTGCTGCTTTTGCAACAGCTAATGGGGATCCTAATAAAATACAAATTCTCGATCCTATCCCTACCACCTTCTTCAAAACAGTTTTTAATTGCATATCTGAAGAAGTGCAAGCTATTGTTAATCACTCCCTGTTCACAGGCACTTTCCCCACTGCACTAAAAACTGCTTTGGTGAAACCCCTTCTTAAGAAAAGTAATCGAGATTCTTCAACTCTTAGCAAGTTTCGGCCAATTTCCAACATCCATTCTTAAGCAAAATTCTGGAGAAAATGGATTTCAAACAGCTAAATTGTTTTTTAAGTGGCAACTGTATTTTTTTTACATTCCAATCTGGTTTTCATGCCCACCACAGCACATATATAGCCTTAGTTAAAGTGGTGAATTATCTTAGAGCCAACACAGATGCCAAACAGCTCTATGTCCTTTTACTCTTGGATTTAAGTGCTACATTCAACACTGTTGACCATGATGTCCTTCTGGACAGACTTGAGAGGTGGTTTGGCCTCTCAGGTCCAGTTCTAAATTGGATTAGGACCTATTTAACCTGTTGAGAGTTTTTTGTCACCCTTTTTTGTCACCCTTTTTTGTCAACAATGTTCGATTTTGGGTCTGATACTGTTCCGTTTATATATGTTACCCCTGGGCAGCGTTATCAAAAAGCACAACATTGATTTTCACTGCTACCCAGACGATACACAACTTTACATTTCACCAGAGGATTTTAGCTCTACGGATAAATTATTGGACTGTATTAGTGATTTAAATACTTGGATGGCTCACAACTTCCTCCAGCTAAATCAAGACAAGACTGAAGTACCTATTGTTGGAGCCAAAGCACAGAGAGAGAATCTGGCTGCACATTTTAATTCACGGGCAATAAAGATAAAACACCAGGTAAAAAACCTAGGTGTTATTTCAGATTCTTAACTAAATTTCCATTCACACATTAGGAATGTGACCAAAATAGCTTTTTACCACCTGAGGAACATTGCCAAGGTGCGGCCATTTCTCTCCCAGGGTGATACAGAGAGACTCATCCATGCTTTTATTACAAGCAGGCTTGACTGCTGTAATGCTCTCCTGTCTGGTCTACCCAAGAAAGCCATTGGTCAACTGCAAAATATAGGGCATGCTGCAGCATGGGTACTTACCAAGATCAGATGGAGAGCACACATTACACCAGTTTTAAGTTCTCTGCACTGGCTGCCTGTGAGTTTTATAATTAGTTTTAAGATTATTCTATTCGTTTTTAAATCACTCCACGATTGTGCACCCCAATACATGTCAGACATGCTTTCAAGTTATGTACCCAATAGTTCCCTCAGGCACTGGTCTTTTAACTATCCCAAACCCTAGGACCAAGAGGCATGGAAAGGGAGTGTTTAGTTACTGTGCCCCCAGCCTCTGGAATAGCCTGCTAGAGAACCTGAGGGGGGCCGAAACTGTGGACATATTTAAAAGAGATCATTAAAACACATATTTTTAGCTTTGCTCTTCCTTAGGGTGGTTTTTAGTCGTTCAGTTTTTGTCACTCTTTTGTTTTTTATCTTATGCTTGTTGTGTAGTAAATATTGTAGCTTTTGTTTTAATAGTTTTGTATTAGTTTTTTCCTGTGAAGCACATTGCGTTGCATTCCATGTCTGAAATTTGCTGTATAAATACAGCTTGATTTGATTTGATTTGATGGGGGCAGTTGAATGGCTTGGTCTCTACTCGGTTAATAACTGATCCTAGTAGATAGATTTAATGACCATGCACATGTACACACACATACACACTAAACTTGCCTGGCATCCTCAGCGGTCTCAGCAATAAGATGGTAGGTGCGCTCTGGCATGATGATGTCGATTCCGTTCTCCTTGCCAGTGTTGTCCACAATCTCTCTGCAAGATAGAAGTACATCAATCTAGATCAGTTCCCTCTCTTCAGATATAAAACCTAGAAACGAAAACCCAAACTAGCCAGATAGGCATTAAGAAAGACAGTTTTCTATAATATTTTCTTCTGTTTAAATACTCTAAAATGTATCCTCCTCCCTCCGATCTTTGAGGAAATCACTGATCTAACATGATTTGATAGGAGCAAGGCTTCCACTGTGTCACTAATCATGTCAGGTAAGATCACTGATTACCTCAAGTAAGGGCAGCAGGAAGGATGCATTTTAACATGGCCCTTATATAGTTCACGCCTTACTTGGCTGCATGCATGTCCAGCATGCCCTTCATCTTGTCCTCGCCATCTTTCTCGAAGTACATGAGCTTGCTCTGGCGCAGGACGAACCAGCGGCGCTTCCAGTTGCGGCGTGACAGTGTCGAGGAGCCGCCACCCTTCTTGTGGAGCCAGCCCTGCTTCAGGGCCTCCTGCTTAGCGCGGAACCACAGGAAGGTCTCGTCCTTCAGCACGCACCAACGCCGCTTCCACGTGTTCATCAGGCCACCTGGAGTAGAGAAGGGAGAGAGAGGGGGAGATGTTAGGCATTGGAAATGATTAAATAAAAGTGTAGAGGTAAGACCGAGCAGCTGTAACATAGTCAAAGAGATTAACATCCATTAAAGTTCAATGGTCATTTCAATGAATGCTATTTACCCATTGATTCTTGAACAAAATAACTAGTTGGAATATAAACCAGGAACAAATGATTGAGTTTCAAGGTAAGGACAAAACATTTAATGTGTTCATACAATATTAAAGAGTGTGTAAGGGGCAAGTGACAGGGAATGAGAGAAAGAGGGACATAGAGCGAGAAAGAAAGTGAGAATGAAGGGACAAGGTCACAACAAGCACAAGCATCTGCTCCTCTGACCCCCTAAAGAGAGAGGGTGTGATGGAGATAGAGGGATAATGGTGAGCAGTGAGTTGGAAAGACCCCCATGCACTCATTTTCCTAATATGGAGGAACACTGCCGTGCTCTTCCCAAATGCATGCAGTGCAACCTAGTGGTAAATAATTGTAATAATGGCAAAGTGTGACACAGTGAAAAGCAAACGCCTGATTCAACTAACCATGGGTTTGGTGACTAGTTTATCAATTTGGGGTGTTAGTGCTGGGCTAGAACAAAAATGTGTTACCTTTGATGTGGAGGAAGCTGTGGAAGTATGGCAGTGTGACACAGCTGTAGACCGAGTCTCGTCGGTAGGACAGCTCGTCGTCCGTGTCGAACCTGTTGAAGTCGTCCTCGCTGTCCACAAACTGAGCAGAGAGAGAGAGAGAGAGAGAGAAAAAGAGAGAGAGAGAAAGAGAGAGATATTGAAAAATATTGAGATAACAAGAGACATAGAGGTTTAACGTAAACATGTTATGTCAAACTCATAAGTCAAATATGTCTAGGTTTCACTTTTACTCATGAAAACCATTAACCATATTATTGCTTCGATCCCTGAACTAGGTTGTGATGTCACCCACAGCTAGTACCCACCGATGATTGGGCCCCCTCTGAGCTGAAGCGATAGGCCCCCGAGCTGTTGTAGGTGCCCACCGAGCCGTGGTAGTCCGGTGACCACTGCCCTTTGTGGGGTTGTGAGAATGCCATGCTGCCACTGGACACTATGGCCCCCTCGTCATAGTCGTCCTGGTCATAGTCCGAGTCTTCGTCCGGAGGAATGAGCTCGACCAGATCCTCGGACTGGGTCTCCGAAACCTGGGGGTGGCAGTAGGCCGAGTCCCCGCCAGAGGAGGCACTGTGGCAGGCTTGCAGCAGAGGCGGCAGGGGCAGCGGCTGGTGGAGTAGCACATTTGGTGGCAGGAGTGGGATCTGTATTCTGTCATTAGCGTACGGGTCCTCCTCGGACGAGTCGTCGCTGGTGCGGATGCCACTGGTGCGCTGGCCGTCCGAGTGGCCGTGCTCGCTGGGGTTGGGTGAGTCTTTGTATGCCTCATCGTCGGCGCCAAAGCCTTCGTCCACCTCCTCCTCCTCGCCCTCATCCCTCTCTCCGCCTATCTTCTCCTCCTCCTCCATGCCCAGCGAGCACTCGATATTGCGCACGCACTCGTCAATCTCGTCGAAGTTGAGCGACTCCAAGAACTGCTGAGCGGCCTTGCACGCCTCGTCCTCCAGGCGCTGCAGCTCCTGGTCACGGAGGGTCTGCAGCCGGTGGAGGGAGGCCTCGGTCAGGGACAGCTCCTGCTGCTCCTTCTGCCGCTGGAGCTCCTGGATCTCCCGCTCCAGACGTAGGATCTCCTCCACCTGCGAGGCGTCCTGGGATGCGTCCTGGGGCCGCACCGCCTCTACGGAAAACTCCTCCGTGGAGATCTCTTCGAAAATGTCATCCAGCTGCTGCTGCACTGCCTGGGTTGCCGGCAATGTTGCTTGTTGTGTCTGTGTATTTGTCTGTGTCTGTGTTTGTGTCTGAGTCAGAAGGTATAGCTCTTGGGCCTGATGCAGGTCATCAATCTTCCTGGCTTCCTCTGCCTATGGAGAAAGAAAAGAAAAGAGAGAGCAAAAACGAAATGTTTAGAGAGAGCCTGGTACTGAGAGTGGTCAGCAAGCTATTAACCAAAAGGCAACTAACACAGAGACAGATAGCAGAACACAAAGTGCAGTGGCAAAGTGTTTGCCTCGGTTTTATCCAACAGGCACCGAAAGTGAAAGACATAATCATGCAACATGCATTGAGAAAGGGGTGATACTATAAAGCCCAATTTAGAAGCAAATCATAAATTCATTTTATGTGATTAATAGATACTCTTACCTCTAGTGCTAGCCATTCAGCCTCCAGCCTCTGTTTTTCCCTATAAGTAAAAAAACTAACATTATTCCCTACCAAAATAAAGGTAAAAAAATGATATAAACAAAATAAACAGTATTATAACTTGTGTGAAATTAATGATTTTGGCTAAAGGTAATATTTGCCATTGACATCACTATTGTCATTTATTTTTTATGTTTTATTTATTCCTTATTTTACGAGGTGAGTTGACTGAGATTACATTGTCATGTACAGCAATGACCTGGGCAAAGTAACAAAACATAGTAAAAATACATAGTTAACATACAAAATATATAAGCAAGCAAAAACACACACACAAAAAAAAAGATCAAGCATAGGAATCATAAGAAACAAACACATTCTTCCTTAAAAAGGTCCTCACACAGCCGTCTGACCTGCCTCAGAGGCACCAATTCAACCAATTTCAGCAAACTCTGTAGACCATTCCACAAGCAAGGTAGAAAATAGCTAAAGGCAGATTTAGCTAACTCTGTCGAGATTGATGGGATCTCCAAAGTTAGCCATCCCTGAGACCGTGTCTGATTGCTTGTATTTCTGTAGGTTAACAGAGAAGGTGGTACTTTATGGAAGAGGGCTTTATAAACAAAAAGAGCGCAATGCATTGATCTACGAGACTTCAAAGAGGGCCAGCCTACTTTCTTTTTTTCATGATCAAGTTTTCATTTGTTTTGTCATTTTCTGTTGGTGGGGGGGGGGGGGGGGTTGCACGTACAATATTCATATCAATTCACAATATTCAGTTTATATAACATGTACCCATGGGGTGCCACTCAAAAGAAAAAGAAAAGTAAGAAATACATACAGAGAAATTATCATATTGATCACACAGGATTTAGTAATAATAAAATTGGTATGTAAGGGTAAAGAAAAGGAAGAAAAAGGCCAAGACAATAAGAAGACACAGTGGCAGAATAAATTCAACCACACCTTTGTTTCATCACAAAACCGGAGAGCAACATCTGTCTGGTGAAGTCCACAAAGCATTTTGCATGTAACAAACAGCATGGTCAAGCAAGTTCATGTTGCCGACATTTTCGGACTACTAAACAACTATGGATTTAGAACCACGGAGAGTTACTGCAAGTCGCAAAGAAAACAGAAGCTGCCTCCACTATTCCAGCACCATTTCAAATTCAACATCATCAAATCACCTATGCTTAGTCTAATATAGTGACAACTAAAATATACCAAAAACAATTTAGTCCAATCAACGTAAGCTAAATATGATGTGGCTGTCCATGGTTCTGATTGATGTGTGTATGTGTGTATGCATGCGAGTGTGCGTACAAGTCGAAAAAACATGTTGACTCACCCTACTTGTAGAGAAACGCCAATGCCATCCTCCTCTTTCATGTTGCCAAAATAGTCTATGACTCTGTCATGCAGTATATGCTTTTAGTTTTTGTTGTCCTAGGCTCCCTGGCTAAAATGGACAACAATGAGCTAGCTATAAAGTGCCTTGCAAAAGGATTCATCCCCCTTGGCGTTTTTCCTATTTTGTTGCATTACAACCTGTAATTTAAATGGATTTTTATTTGGATTTCATGTAATGGACATACACAAATTAGTCCAAATTGGTGAAGTGAAATGAAAATAAATAAGTATTCACACTCCTGTGTCAACACAAGTTAGAATAACTTTGGCAGTGATTACAGCTGTGAGTCTTTCTGGGTAAGTCTCTAAGACCTTTGCACACCTGGATTGTACAATATTTGCACATTATTCTTTAAAAAACTCTTCAAGCTCTGTCAAGTTGGTTGTTGATCATTGCTAGACAGCCATTTTCAAGTCTTGCCATAGATTTTCAAGCCAATTTAAGTCAAAACTGTAACTAAGTAAGTCAGGAACATTCAATGTCGTCTTGGTAAGGAACTCCAGTGAATTTGTCTCCCAGTGTCCGTTGGAACGCAGACTGAACCAGGTTTCCCTCTAGGATATTATCTGTGCTAAGCTCTATTCCATTCCTTTTTATCCCAAAAAACTCCCTAGTCCTTGCCGATAACAAGCATACCCATAACATGATGCAGCCACCACCGTGCTTGAATATATGAAGAGTAGTACCAAGCGGGCTGTCATGTGCCTTTTACTGAGGAGTGTCTTCCATCTGGCCACTCTACCATAAAGGCATGATTGGTGGAGTGCTGCAGAGATGGTTGTCCTTCTGGAAGGTTCTCCCATCTCCACAGAGTAACTCTAGAGCTCTGTCAGAGTGACCATCGGGTTCTTGGTCACCTCCCTGAACAAGGCCCTTCTCCCCCGTTTGCTCAGTTTGGCCGGGCGGCCATCTCTAGGAAGAGTCTTGGTGGTTCCAAATTTCTTCCATTTAAGAATGATGGAGGCCACTGTGTTCTTCGGGACCTTCAATGCTGCAGAAATGTTTTGGTACCCTTCCCCAGATCTGTGCCTCGATACAATCCTGTCTCGGAGCTCTACGGACAATTCCTTCGACCTCATGGCTTGGTTTTTGCTCTGACCTGCACTGTCAACTGTGGGACCTTATATAGACAGGTGTGTGCCTTTCCAAATCATGTCCAATCAATTGGATTTACCACAGGTGGACTCCAATCAAGTTGTAGAAACATCTCAAGGATGATCAATGGAAACAGGATGCACCTGAGGTAAATTTCGAGTCTCATAGCAAAGGGTCTGACTACTTATGTAAATAATGTTTTTCTGTTTTTTTATTTTTTATAAATGTGCTAAAATTTCTACAAACCTCTTTTCGCTTAGTCATTATGGGGTATTGTGTGTAGATTGCTGAGGAATTGTTTTTATTTATTCCATTTCAGAATAAGACTAACGTAACAAAATGTGGAAAAAGTCAAGGGGTCTGAATACTTTCCGAAGGCACTGTATATATCTCATAATAATTACCATCATAACGAGTTACTATCTTATAATTATGACTTACTATTTCATAATAATGACTTTCTATCTCATAATTATAACTTGCTATCTCATAATTATGACTTACTATCTCATAATTATGACTTACTGTCTCATAATAATGACTTACTATCAAAAAATTATGATTTACTATCTCATAATGCATAGTCAGACATTTTTGGGGAGGGGTGGCGGGAACAGGCCTTGTCTAGTTGTGTTTATTTACTTTACATTTTTGTCTATTTGTTTTAATTTTTTATTTTATGCACTTTGAGATTCATCTGTATAAGGAAAAGTGCTTTACAAATATAATAAATTATTATTATTATTATTAATATAACTTCTAATAGTAACTGTATCCACTGGCGAATTGGGAGCGAGTGATTGACATCTTTTTTTGCGGCAGTGCTGCCTGCCAGCAGTTATCGTCTCTGATTGATTGAGAGATTCAAGGAGCTGTCATCGTTAAGTAACATAGTAGATGCAAAGCATTGAATATTTACATATATGCACTTCTAAATGAATTTTGTAACTTTGTCCCAGAAGCATATAACTGCAGGGCATTTCACATATGAAGGAATGTGCCTACCTGATTTAGGGGACACAGTGAACAGTTGGGGCCAAGTTTCCTTGGTGTTCCTTGGTGTTAAATACAGTCTGTGAACAAACTTGAAAAGTATAAATTGATGGTTCGGATTACGGGATGACAAGGTCATTTCCCATATTCTGTTACAGTCAAAGGTTTGTTCAGATTCATTTAGATCTGTGGACCATACTTTTTTAATGACTAGCTCAGAATATGAGCTTTTCAAAAGTGTTTATATATTATAGAGATCAGTCCTTTCGGGAGCCCAGATAATTTATTTATAAATCCCATCATTGGATGGTTTGGAAGTTGGGTTTCTCAAGGGACTCCATAGGCCAGCATAGTTGACCCAAGTTGTAAATATAGAAAAAAGGAGTTGCCGGGGAATATGTATGTCTTTCAAATCTTGGAATGTTCTCAAACCATTACTGTCCATGATATCGGCAAGGGTACAGATTCCAAATTTGGACCATTGGGGGGCTGCAAAAGGCCAGTCCAACACAAGGCATATGTGTGCAAATATTGTATTTTTTACATTTTACATTTTTAGTAATTTAGACGCTCTTATCCAGAGCGACTTACAGTTAGTGATGCATACATTATTATTTTTTCATAACTGGCCCCCCGTGGGAATCGAACCCCAACCCTGGCGTTGCAAACTGCCATGCTCTTACCATTGAGCTACATCCCTGCCGGCCATTCCTTCCAATATGGAGTATGTCCGTGCCATTTTGATTCCCAGTTACATTATGTTTAAATTTTGCGCCAAATAGAAATTGTGTGAGCACTAATAGGACCAAAGTGTAGTTTACATTCTTTAAGGGATATATCAGTGAAGACAATCTCTTCCAGGGCAATAGGAGACATCATATGTCTCGCCAAGGTGCGGAAGAATCATGTCTAAACCAATTTAGGATGGGATTAAATGCTAGTGCCTGGAAATACAATTTAAAGTTTGGTACGGATAGTCCTCCTACGTCTTTCCCTCTTTTGTAAGTTTGTTCATTTTATCTGGTCTCTCTTACCTTGCCATATACATTTTGATACCACACTATGGATTGTAAGTTGTTCCACATAAAAGGCGCAAGAACACTAAAAGCAGCTTTACCCAACTCTGTGGAGACCGAAGGGGCATCCAGTGTTATCCAAGCCGGAGACTGGGTTTGGTAATTTGTAAGTCTTAATCCACATTTTGTTGTGTTAACCTGAATTGAACATTTATTAAATATATGTTTTTCCTCACCCATCTACACACAATACCCTATAATGACAAAGTGATGAAATGTTTTTAGAAATGTTAGCAAATGTATTGAAAATGACATACATCAATATCTCATTTACCTAAGTATTCACACCCCTCAGTCAATTCTTTGTAGAAGCACCTTTGGTACTGATTACAGCTGTGAGTCTTTCTGGGTAAGTCTCTAAGAGTTTTCCACACCTGGATTGTGCAACATTTACCCATTATTCTTTCCAGAATTCTTCAAGCTCTGTCAAATTGGTATTATGTTTCTCTAAATTCTTCAGTTAGGTTAGTATTGTGGAATTTCTCCTATCACAGCCATTCAACTCTGTAACTGTTTTAAAGTCACCATTGGCCTCATGGTGAAATTCACTTCCTCTCTGGCAACTGAGTTAGGAAGGATGCCTGTATCTTTGTGTTACAGTGAGGGAAAAAAGTATTTGATCCCTTGCTGATTTTGTACGTTTGCCCACTGACAAAGACATGATCAGTCTATAATTTTAATGGTAGGTTTATTTGAACAGTGAGAGACCGAATAACAACAACAAAAATCCAGAAAAACGCATGTCAAAAATGTTATAAATTGATTTGCATTTTAATGAGGGAAATAAGTATTTGACCCCTCTGCAAAACATGACTTGGTACTTGGTGGCAAAACCCTTGTTTGCAATCACAGAGGTCAGACGTTTCTTGTAGTTGGCCACCAGGTTTGCACACATCTCAGGGGGGATTTTGTTCCACTCCTCTTTGCAGATCTTCTCCAAGTCATTAAGGTTTCGAGGCTGACGTTTGGCAACTCAAACCTTCAGCTCCCTCCACAGATTTTATATGGGATTAAGGTCTGGAGACTGGCTAGGCCACTCCAGGACCTTAATGTGCTCTTCTTGAGCCACTCCTTTGTTGCCTTGGCCGTGTGTTTTGGGTCATTGTCATGCTGAAATACCCATCCACAACACATTTTCAATGCCCTGGCTGAGGGAAGGAGGTTCTCACCCAAGATTTGACGGTACATGTCCCCGTCCATCGTCCCTTTGATGCGGTGAAGTTGTTCTGTCCCCTTAGCAGAAAAACACCCCCAAAGCATAATGTTTCCACCTCCATGTTTGATGGTGGGGATGGTGTTCTTGGGGTCATAGGCAGCATTCCTCCTCCTCCAAACACGGTAAGTTGAGTTGATGCCAAAGAGCTCGAATTTTGGTCTCATCTGACCACAACACTTTCACCCAGTTCTCCTCTGAATCATTCAGATGTTCATTGGCAAACTTCAGACGGGCCTGTATATGTGCTTTCTTGAGCAGGGGGACCTTGCGGGCGCTGCAGGATTTCAGTCCTTCACGGCGTAGTGTGTTACCAATTGTTTTCTTGGTGGCTATGGTCCCAGCTGCCTTGAGATCATTGACAAGATCCTCCCTTGTAGTTCTGGGCTGACTCCTCACCGTTCTCATGATCATTGTAACTCCACGAGGTGAGATCTTGCATGGAGCCCCAGGCCGAGGGACATTGACAGTTATTTTGTGTTTCTTCCATTTGCAAATAATCGCACCAACTGTTGTCACCTTCTCACCAAGCTGCTTGCCGATGGTCTTGTAGCCCATTCCAGCCTTGTGTAGGTCTACAATCTTGTCCCTGACATCCTTGTCCCTGACATCCTTGGAGAGCTCTTTGGTCTTGGCCATGGTGGAGAGTTTGGAATCTGATTGATTGATTGCTTCTGTGGACAGGTGTCTTTTATACAGGTAACAAGCTGAGATTAGGAGCACTCCCTTTAAGAGTGTACTCCTAATCTCAGCTCATTACCTGTTTAAAAGACACCTGGGAGCCAGAAATCTTTCTGATTGAGAGGGGGTCAAATACTTATTTCCCTCATTAAAATGCAAATCAATTTATAACATTTTTGACATGCGTTTTTCTGGATTTTTTTGTTGTTATTCTGTCTCTCACTGTTCAAATAAACCTACCATTAAAATTATAGACTGATCATGTCTTTGTCAGTGGGCAAACGTAAAAAATCAGCAGAGGATCAAATACTTTTTCCCTCACTGTACGTCTACTCCCGCTCTCCTGCTCCGGCGCTCGACATCACCGGTCTACTAACCACCGGTCCTGGCAACCCATCTTTACGCACACCTGTGCCCTATCATCAGTCACACCTGGACCTCATTACTACCTTCATTACTTACCATTTATCTAGCACTCTGTTTTGTCAGGCATCAGGTAGTATTGTTCGCGTTTCCATGTCAGACACTTCTCTTGTTTTGTATCGTTCCATGTTCGTTATTATTTAACTCACTAACTGCACCTGCTTCCTGACTCCCTGCGTCTACGTTACACTTCGTAGTCATTGGGTGTATTGACACACCATCCAAAGTGTAATAACTTCACCATGCTCAAAGGGATATTCAATGTCTACTTTATTTTTTTTAACCCATCTACCATTGGAAAACCTTCCTGGTCTTTGGGGTTGAATCTGTGTACAGAGATGCAGTAGTCATTAAAAAATCATGTTAAACACTATTATTGCACACAGAGTGAGATCAATGCAACTTATTATGTGACTTGTTAAGCAAATGTTTACTCTTGAACTTATTTAGGCTTGCCATAACAAAGGGGTTGAATACTTATTGCCGAAAGACATTTCAGGATATCCATCTTTTTTTTCTTCTTTAAAAAATAAATCTAAATGTTATCTATTTTAAATTCAGGCTGTAACACAACAAAATGTGGAAAACGTCAAGGGGTGTGAATACTTTCTGAAGGCGCTGTATACGTATTTTGATATTATTTTACTTTTTTTGCTTTCAGGCCCACAGGGAAGGGGTGGTATAGGGAGGGTTTTCTCTAGTCGCCTGGAGGGTGGATCTATGTACTATATATTATTGCCTGTGATCTGAACCCCTCAAAAAATAAACAACAAACAAAAACAGTTGGTCACCAAAAAAAGATAGTCCATTGTTCATTAATTGACGTGATGTCATCATTGTCTAAATGTCCTGAACCATAGGCAATATAATAATATCAAAGTGCAATGTTCAGCAATAATAATAATAATAATAATAATAATAATAATAATAATAATAGTGTTCCTTTTACCCAATTGAGGGGTTGTCCTCATCATTGTCTTATGCTGAGGGCAGGATTGTGCATGGATAGCATACCTGAATATTGAGCCAGTCAAATTGGGGTTAGCCCAGATCTGTCGGCTCGTCCCCTTGTGTGTTGGCTTGACGTGCTTCTCAAAGAAGTCTTGAGCCTCCTTGGCAGTGGAAAACGTTTGTGCTGTATTCTGGAAAGTCTAGATGAGTTTTGCCGGGTGGATGAAGCCGCATCTCAGGTTTAGCTTGCGTATCTGTGATCTCAGCTAGTTGTAGGTCGCCCTCTGTTTCAGCAGTTCGGCACTCAGGTCTGAATAGATGCTGATCCTCTTCAAAGCCCCCAATTCTGCTGCGAGGCGAACAATTTGCCATTTGACTTCAAAACTGTGGATTCGTACAATCATACACCGAGCTCCGTTGTGGATAGGACTCGTGCGGTGAGCAATGTTAATCAGCGGCATGGGACCCAACTTTTCCTGCCCAAACAGTTCATAGAAAATATTTTGCTCATGAAGGAAGTTGGTTTTCCCAATTCCACACCAGTTTCAAGTCCTGTGACCTGCATATTGAATTCACAGGAATTATTTCTGAGTGATTCTGTTCTCTTTTTTAGGATATTGATTTCCCCTTCTAGCTTCCATTTTGCGCTGTTTCCAGGTCATGGAGTCACACCTTGGCCACTGTTTCCAAACTGTCCACTTTAGTTGAGTGAGCAGTGCAAGATATTCATTTACCGGTTTTAATTGCAAGTCGAAGGCTGAGGTAATTTCCTCACGAACAATCTCACGGATAGTAGCGGCCAACTCTTTCTGTTGTCAGGTGTTGCGAGCCACAATGTTCCCACAGGTGAATTGTGGACGGAAAGATTATGCTAGCTGCTGGAGTGAAATAGACCTACTAGTTGTGTCTTGTAATACTGTGAAAATCCCACACATTAATATAGTGTTATGTGTTGACAATTATTTAACAAGAAGTCTGTTTATTTATAGTTATTTTCTGCAAGTCAATAAAGGCAGATTAAAGCTCCGTAATAGCCTAGTCAGCCGTGTGGGCAATAGCATACACAACAGTGTCATCTACATAAATTAGTAAAGTGGAATAATCAAGTCCAACCCCAGTCAGCACACACACACACACACACACACACACACACACACACACACACACACACACACACACACACACACACACACACACACACACACACACACACACACAGAAACTGCAAATAGCCCACCTATCCAGCTCTTCCACCTTCCTCCTCCTCTTATCCTCCTCCCTGATCTTCCTCTCATCCAGGAGTTGGCAGTAGACCTTTCGTGCCAACTGGCCCCTCAGGCATTTCTGGAAGGTGAGAGCAGCCCAGCGCAGGAGCAAGAACTTCCGCCTCCAATAAAACGCCCTGTAGTTCTTCTGAATGACCACAATGCACTGCAGCAGCTTCCTGTACTGCTTCCTGTGGAGTGACATCAAGGAAATTGATATAGCTCTTGTCTTGGAATCGTATCTCTTAGTGTGGTCTCATCTTGGAATAGCTAAACATCAGAATAGGTACTCAGTAAGTATGTATGCATAATCAAGTAAGTGGTCCCCCCCAGGGTCTGACTTTGGCCCAATCGTTTCCCCCGAAGAGGCTGTGTGTAGAGAAGGGGGTAGCTGCATCCCAATATGGCGACCGGAGTATGGGAGAATGGGTGTGTCGAAAGGAAAGTATTTTTTGTATTTTACCTTTATTTTACCAAGGAAGACATATTGAGACCTAAGTCTCTTTTTTCAAATGTGCCTTGCACAATACAACACAAATATACACATTATACACAGTAATGGGCGTGTGAAAAGGAGTGGGTGTGTCGAAAGCGCTCTACTTTTGGTTAGACGGTTTTGATTGAGCTGTTTTTTTTCTTCTTCTGTTTCTTACCATGCAACTACCGTACATTGAGCTACCATACCGTGAGAGTTTGGACTTATGTTTTTAAGCCAGAGGATGTCTGAGTCGTATTTCACCGTTTTTTATTTTAGTATTTTGTATTTTTGTTAGTTTTACACATCACTGTACATTTTCAGTTATTAAACTAACAATTGTTCATTTTTTATTAAAAGTATTGATGATGGGTTTATTGTTGCTTCATGAGTTGTATGCATGTGCTTACTGTGATGGTCACCCTGATATTGGATAGCTACTTCCCACTGCGTTGCCGGACATAGGTGCTTGTCAAGTGGGAGCAAAGGGCACTGTGTCCCGGTGTTGTTGCCATGTTATTTTTTGTATATCATTTGAATTTTATTTATTTTATTTTTTATTTAGGGGGTAGACCAGCTTTAATATTGCAGAAAGATTGTAACTTCCATCAATGTAACTGTCTGCATCACTTCCAATCTCCCATATATTTTGTTTTCGCAAATATATACAGTACCAGTCAAAAGTTTGGACACACCTACTCATTCAAGGGTTTTTCTTTATTTTTACTATTTTCTACATTGTAGAATAATAGTGAAGACATCAAAACTATGAAATAACACAAATGAAATCATGTAGTAACCAAAAAAGTGTTAAACAAATCAAAATATATGTTATATTTGAGATTCTTCAAATAGCCACCCTTTGCCTTGACGATAGCTTTGCACACTCTTGGCATTCTCTCAACCAGCTTCACCTGGAATGCTTTTCCAACAGTCTTGAAGGAGTTCTCACATGCGGAGATCATCCGTTCACCCATACCGTGTCTCACAAAGACACGGCAGTTGAAACCAAAAACTCCAGACCAAAGGACATATTTCCACTGGTCTAATGTCCATTGCTCGTGTTTCTTGGCCATAACAGGTCTCTTCTATTATTGGTGTCCTTTAGTAGTGGTTTCTTAGCAGCAATTCGACCATGAAGGCCTGATTCACACAGTCCCCTCTGAACAGTTGATCTTGAGATGTGTCTGTGACTTCAACTCTGTGAAGCATGTATTTGGGCTGCAATTTCTGAGGCTGGTAACTCTAATGAACTTATCCTCTGCAGCAGAGTTAACTCTGGGTCTTCCATTCCTGTGGTGGTCCTCATGAGAGCCAGTTTCATCATAGCACTTGATGGTTTTTGCGACTGCACTTGAAGAAACTTTCAAAGTTCTTGAAATGTTCCGTATTGACTGACCTTCATGTCTTAAAGTAATGATGGACTGTCGTTTCTCTTTGCTTATTTGAGCTGTTCTTGCCATAATATGGACTTGGTCTTTTACCAAATAGGGCTATCTTCTGTATACCACCCCCTACCTTGTCACAACACAACTGATTGGCTCAAATGCATTAAGAAGGAAATAAATTCCACAAATTAACTTTTAAGAAGGCACACCTGTTGCATTCCATGTGACTACCTCATGAAGCTGGTTGAGAGAATGCCAAGCGTGTGCAAAGAAGGGTGGCTATTTGAAGAATCTCAAATATAAAATATATTTTGATTTGTTTAACACTTTTTTGGTTACAACATGATTCCATATGTGTTATTTAATAGTTTTGATGTCTTCACTATTATTCTACAAATTAAAAAAATAAAAAAAAATAAAGAAAAACCCTTGAATGAGTAGGTGTGTCCGACCTTTTGACGGGTAGTGTATATATATATGTACACATACAGTTGAAGTCGGAAGTTTACATACACCTTAGCCAAATACATTTAAACTCAGTTTTTCACAATTCCTGACATTTAATCCTAGCAAAAAATCCCTGTCTTAGGTCAGTTAGGATTGCCACTTTATTTTAAGAATGTGAAATGTCAAAATAATAGTAGAGAGAATTATTTATTTTAGCTTTTATTTTTTTCATCACATTCCCATGGGTCAGAAGTTTACATACACTCAATTAGTATTTGGTAGCATTGCCTTTAAATTGTTTAACTTGGGTTAAACGTTTCAGGTACCCTTGCACAAGCTTCCCACAATAAATTGGGTGATTTTTGGCCCATTCCTCCTGACAGAGCTGGTGTAACTGAGTCAGGTTTGTAGGCCTGACCAACAATGCTTAGGCCTCTACTTCCAGCTTATACAGTACATACTATATACATTTTATGGACACAGTCAATGTTACAATAGTTCTATTTTGTTTGATTTTACTCCTGAACTTCCTCTACCCTCAACCTCTCCGATCATTTTCATGATGTCCATCCGGTTTGCCATATCTTTCAAACTGTGCTCTTTCACAAAAGTTCTTAACCTATAACCTATATAGTTATTATGGACACAGTATGTTTTACAATTTTTATCTTGTTGTTATTAGTTGTTATTAGTCCCAACCTTCAGCTCCATTCAACCCCTCCCATCTATCTCAACACCATCCATATTGGATTTCTATTTGCCATATATTTTTCAACTGTACTGTGATATTTCACAAAAGTTCTGAACCTTTCTATTCTCATTGTTTCTACAGATTGTTAATTGAAAACATATTTTTTTGCTAAAAGTATTATTATATTATTGATTGATTGACTATCACTTTTCAGATCACCCAGTAATGCTATCTGCAGGGTTAGCTCCAGGTAAATATTGCAATCCTTCAGCCATTCCTGGTCCTGTGACCAAAAACAAGCTACAAATGGACAGTACCAAAACACATGATCTATTGATTCTGTCTCTTCGCAGCAAAATCTGCAGAGCTGGGAAGATTGTATGCTGTTGCCGTTCATGCCCTCACCATTGAGTAGTAGACTGTATGTATCAAGGTGACATCTAGATGCTTATCAGTTATTTCTTGTTTAGACTGCTATCCGACTTGAAATAAAATCATGTGAGAGAATAAAAGCCCCACGTAGCTACCACCGGTGACACGACCATGCTACCCAGTAGGAAGCGCTTCAAGTCGGCGGAGCACTGGTGGCCTATTATGGACTTGTAGTTCAGCCCAATCAGCCACGCAAAACGATCGAGTGGCAACAAATTTGGCCAATTAGCTGATTCGCTTTCAATAGACCCACTCCTTTCGACATACCCACTCACCCATACTCCGGTTGCCATATTGGGCTGCTGCTACCCATACTTGTGTGTGTGTGTGTGCTGTATGGTATATGCCTATCACGGTTGCGGTCAATTCAGCATCCAATTAGTCAATTCAGGAAGTGAATTTCAAATGTAAATTCATACACTGAAAAAAGATTAGGGCAACAGGCAATTTTTGATTCATGAATTTCATAACTTAAAGGAAAACTGAAATGACCTCAAACCTGGTGCACATACAGGATATGTGGCACATTTACCTGGCCATGTAGCCCATGACGTGAGCCTGGATGATCATGGCTGCTTTCAGCACCTCCATCTCCCGCTGCTTCTCCAACCTGTGCTCCAGAGACTCCCGTAGAAACACCTGTGGGGGGATTGAGAGGGAGGAGAGAGGGGGGGGGGGGGGGGGGGGGAGACAAAGTAAAGGAAAGGAAAAAAAGAGGTGAAGGTGAAGGTTACCAAGGGTTCCATTTAAAATAAATGTGCCTGCCAAACTGTCAACTAAGTTACCTACAGCAATTTGATCAAACCTACACTACATAATAGACTACACATTATATTACAAATGTACTTTTTTGTACTGTACATAGTAGAATGGTTTTGGGCTCTTTGCAAATACCAGGTACACTCCTAATAGGCAGATAGTTCCAGTTTTCTGAATGAACAACTATTATTGTAAACAGTGATGTTTGATTGACTCCAACTCTCTGTATAGTCTATGTCATTACGTTCCTTTGAATACTTGGAACAGTATGGCTAGACAATCAACAGCTATTCTGCCTAAGAATATGCTTAAAATCACTTGTAACCCATTACAAATATGTAAGCCAACAACTTAAGAAACCCACTCACGTACATCTAAAACCAATTTCAAACCCAACACAAAAGAACGACACAGTCCAACACACCGCAATGTTAATCAAATCAATTCTTCACTCTTTTGTTCAAACCGCGGGAGCCAACGCTAAAGGCTGCAAAATTACCAATGCAAGGCATTTAGTGGCTCAGTTTCTGAATGGTCTAATCTACAGGCACTTAGTCCGATTGCCCTTTTTAAGACCCAAGCTGTCTTCCATTGATAGGGAAACCAGGCTTCATTGTGGGCCTTGAGGTTAAGCCAATTAGAGACTGTAGAAATTTAGATGTGGGACTGTTGTCTCAAGCAAATCAGTGGAGAAATGTCAGAATTACAGGGGTATTGCTGAACAGGTTGTCTTGGCTTGGCTTTATCTTGTCGAATGATATACAGTTGAAGTTGGAAGTTTACATACACCTTAGCCAAATACATTTAAACTCAGTTTTTCACAATTCCTGACATTTAATCCTAGTAAACTTCCCTGTCTTAGGTCAGTTAGGATCACCACTTTTTTTAAGAATGTGAAATGTCAGAATAATAGTAGAGAGATAAAAAATGATTTATTTCAGCTTTTATTTCTTTCATCACATTCCCAGTGGGTCAGAAGTTTACATACACTCAATTAGTATTTGGTAGCATTGGCTTTAAATTGTTTAACTTGGGTCAAACGTTTCGGGTAGCCTTCCACAAGCTTCCCACGATACGTTGGGTGAATTTTGGCCCATTCCTCCTGACAGAGCTGTTGTAACTGAGTCAGGTTTGTAGGCCTCCTTGCTCGAAACAAGGTTTTTCAGTTCTACCCACACATTTTCTATAGGATTGAGGTCAGGGCTTTGTGATGGCCACTCCAATACCTTGACTTTGTTGTCCTTAAGCCATTTTGCTACAACTTTGGAAGTTTGCTTGGGGTCATTGTCCATATGGAAGACCCATTTACGACCAAGCTTTAACTTCCTGACTGAAGTCTTGAGATATCCACATACCTTTCCTTCCTCATGATGCCATCTATTTTGTGAAGTGCACCAGTCCCTCCTGCAGCAAAGCACCCCCACAGCATGATGCTGCCACCCCCGTGCTTCACGGTTGGGATGGTGTTCTTCGGCTTGCAAGACCTCTCTTTTTCCTCCAAACATAACAATGGTCATTATGGCCAAACAGTTCTATTTTGGTTTCATCAGACCAGAGGACATTTCTCCAAAAAGTACGATCTTTGTCCCCATGTGCAGTTGCAAACCGTAGTCAGGCTTTTTATGGCGGTTTTGGAGCAGTGGCTTCTTCCTTGCTGAGCGGCCTTTCAGGTTATGTCGATATAGGACTCGTTTTACTGTGGATAATGATACTTTTGAACCTGTTCCCTCCAGCATCTTCACAAGGTCCTTTGCTGTTGTTCTGGGATTGATTTGCATTTTTCGCACCAAAGTATGTTCATCTTTAGGAGACAGAACTCCTTCCTGAGCGGTATGACGGCTGCGTGGTCCCATGGTGTTTATACTTCCGTACTATAGTTTGTACAGATGAACGTGGTACCTTCAGGCGTTTGGAAATTGCTCCCAAGGATGAACCAGACTTGTGGAGGTCTACAATTCTTTTTCTGAGGTCTTGGCTGATTTCTTTTGATTTTCCCATGATGTCAAGCAAAGAGGCACTGAGTTTGAAGGTAGGCCTTGAAATACATCCACATGTACACCTCCAATTGACTCATATTATGTCAATTAACCTATCAGAAGCTTCTAAAGCCATGACATCATTTTCTGGAATTTTCCAAGCTGTTTAAAGGCACAGTCAATCATTTCTTTGTCAGTGGGCAAACGTACAAAATCAGCAGGGGATCAAATACTTTTTTCCCTCACTGTATGTACATATACCTAGGAATAAATACAAATTTGTCACATGCGCCGAATACAACAGGTGTCCTTTTTACCCCTTTTCTCCCCAATTTTGTGACATCCAATTGGTAGTTACAGTCTTGTCCTATCGCTGCAACTCCCGTACTGACTCGGGAGAGGCGAAGTTCGAGAGCCATGCGTCCTCTGAAACACGACCATGCCAAGCCGCACTGCTTCTTGACACACTGCTCGCTTAACCCGGAAGCACCAATATGTTTGAGGATACACTGTACAACTGGCGACCGAAGTCAGCGTGCATGCGCCCGGCCCACCACAAGGAGTCGCTAGAGCGCGATGGGACAAGGACATCCCGGCCGGCCAAACCCTCCCCTAACCCGGACGACGCTGGGCCAATTGTGCGCCGCCTCATGGGTCTCCCGGTCACGGCCGGCTGTGACACAGCCCGGGATTGAACCCGGGTCCTGAGTGGCGCAGCCTTAGCACGCTGCGCCACTCGGGAGGCCCAGGTGTAGCCATGAAATGCTTACTTACAAGCCCTTAACCAACAATGCAGTTTTAAGAAAATAGAGTTAAGAAAATATTTACTAAATAAACTAAAGTAATAAATAGTAACACAATAAAATAACAACAACGAGGCTATATACATGGGGTACATGTAATTTGTACATGTAGGTAGGGGTAAAGTGACTATGCATAGATAATAAACAGCAAGTAGCAGTAGTGTAAAAACAAAGGGGGGTCAATGCAAATAGTATGGGTGGCCATTTGATTAATTGTTCAGCAGTCTTATGGCTTGGGGGTAGAAGCTGTTAAGAAGCCTTTTGGAACTAGAATTGGCGCTCTGGTACCACTTGCTGTGCGGTAGCAGAGAGAACAGTCTATGACTTGGGTGACTGGAGACTTTGACAATTTTTTGGGCCTTCCACTGACACCGCCTAGTATAGAGGTCCTGGATGGCAGGAAGCTTGGCCCCAGTGATGTACTGGGCCATACGCACTACCCTCTGTAGCGTCTTACGGTCTGATGCCGAGCAGTTGCCATACCAGGCGGTGATGCAACCGGTCAGGATGCTCTCAAACTTTTTGAGGATCTGGGGACCCATGCCAAATCTTTTCAGTCTCCTGAGGGGGAATAGGCATTGTTGTGCCCTCTTCACGACTGTCTTGGTGTGTTTGGACCATGATAGTTTGTTGTTGATGTGGACACTGGAGTGACAATAGAGTGGACAATAGAGTGACTAGGCAACAGGATAGATAATAAACAATAGAACAGCATGTGATGACTCAAAAAAGTTAGTGCAAAAGGTGGGTCAATGCAGATAGTTAATAATTAACCAAATAGCTACCCGGACTAACTATTTAGCAGTCTTATGGCTTGGGGAGAAGCTGTTCAGGGTCTTGTTGGTTTCAGACTTGGTACTATGTAATTACATGGTAATAAGGTTGTAGCGCTATCAGTTATTTCACAATTGGAACAAGGAATGTGTAATTACACATCCACTTGCTGAAGGCTATTCCACATGTGTAATTACTGATGTTATTAGACATTTCCTTGTTCCACTATGTAACTAATGTTTTGTAATTACACAAAAGTAACCTGTGAATTACCATGTTAATAATTCAAACCAAAATCTGACCTTGTTACATGCAACTACAAGGTGCCACTACAATCGAATCCACATATAATACCAGGGTTGACAAATAGGCTAGGACCTAGTAACAGCAATTACAACAAGGCACACCCTGTCATTAACTACCGGTCATTTTAAATTGGTTTATTTCTGTCCTGGCTCAAAGGCTATACCGAATCAAGTGTAATGTAAGAACAATGTAGTTACATAGGATATACTTGTAATTACCCAGGAGCAAGCAACTTCATGTAAAGTGAAACCCAGTAGGGTATAACCTTTATAAATTACTATGTAGTTAGAATGTAACAACCTTTGCAGGAGAAATTAGGCGACAGGAGAACATTAGGTATAACCCTTTTAGTTACATCATACTTACAACGTAACAATCCTTAACAACCAACACTGTAGTTACAATGTTGTTATAAGGGATATACTTACAATTTACAATGTACTACCTAGGCGCAAGCAACTTAATGTAAAGTGAAGTGACATTTTGTATTACTTTGTAGTTACAATATAACTACCTTTGCAGATAGACTATAGGCTAACCAGGAGAAATAAGGAGACAGGAGAAACATTTTCAGTTTGACTTTTCTTTAATGGATTTGACAAAGATTAATATTCAAACCATTCAAATTCAATTCCCAATTTCAGACTCAATGCAATAACTATTGGTACTATTTTACTAGTTAGTAAAATGTACTAACACAGGGTGTGTTTCACTAATGTAGCTAGCTAGCTAAACACTGTCACAATGTCAACAAGTTTTCCAACTCGGTCAATAAACATTACAAAATCGTCATTCAACTTTTGAAACATTTAGTTAACAATGTGATTTCACTATTTTGAGACTTACATTGTACTTTTGCACATTACAAACCTTTATAAACACTACAAATTAAGAGACAGAATTAGCATGTGGCTTCCATTTTGGCTGCAGAGGAGAGTGTGAGAGATGAAACGTCAGTGTGACATCACTTCCTGGTGAACTCTCAATTTTACAAAATCTTTTTAAAAACCTCATAAAACATTTAGTTAACCTTTATGTTCACTATTTAGTAACTGATATTGTACGTTTGCACATTCAAAATAATTAAAATAAGAAGCCAGAAGAACGCTGGGCTGTCACCTAGGTCGA